GGTCTATCCAAGTTTTGCGTGTGAGGCAAGGAACGTATACCTCGGGTTACCTACAGATGGATTCTACCCTTTTGGAAAGCATGGAAGGCAATATTCATTGTGGCCAGTCATCGTGACACCTTACAATTTACCGCCATCATTGTGCATGAAGCGAGAGTTTTTGTTCCTCTCTATCCTTGTCCCCAGCCCAGAGCATCCTAAGAGATCCCTTGATGTTTTCTTGCAACCACTCATTTATGAGTTAAAAATGTTATGGATAAATGGTGTTGAGGCGTTTGATGTTTCCATCCAACAGAATTTTGTGATGCGTGCAGTACTTATATGGACCATAAATGATTTTCTCGCATATGGTATGCTATCTGGATGGTCGACACATGGAAGATTAGCGTCTGTATTGTCAAGATAACACTGATGCGTTCCAATTAAAGCATGGGCGAAAGACTTCTTGGTTTGATTGTCATCGACGATTTCTACCACATGATCATCCATACCGCCAGAGCAAGACTTTGTTTATGAGGAACAAACAAGTTTTTGAAGATCCACCTCCTGAGTTAGATGGGAATTATATGATGACTCGTATGAGAGATTTTGGTGCTGAAAAGACAGTTGTGTGTGGTGATAATGGGCATTATCCTATTGACTGTTGTGTCGAGCATCACAATTGGCATAAGAAGAGTATTTTTTTGGAGTTGCCATATTGGAAGGACCATCTACAGCACCATAATTTAGATATCATGCACATTGAGAAGAACTTTTTCGACAACATTATGAACACCGTTCTAAATGTGCAAGGGAAGACAAAAGATAATTTGAAAGCTAGATAGGACTTGCTAGATTATTGTTTCTGTAAGGAGTTGCATGCAACGGAAAATGGAAAATCTTTGGCCCCTGCTTTCCGGTTGGATGTGTCTTCAAAGGAGGAGTTCTTTGAGTGGATCAAGCATAGTGTCAAATTTCCAGATGGATACGCATCTAATCTTCGAAATTGCGTTGATAGTGGAGAAGGAAATTTTTTTGGGATGAAGAGTCATGATTGTCATGTTGTTATGCAGCGCCTCCTTCCATTTGCCTTTGGCGGTCTTTTACCTAAAAACGTCCATGAAGCTATTGCAGGTACATCTATATTATTCTATATTTAAAAAAATCATGTTTCATTATATATTTTTTAATTTTTTTATCTACTATGTAGGGATTGGTGCTTTCTTCCGGGATATATGCGCAAAATCACTTACAGCAGACGGTATCCACAATCTGGAAGAAAAGAGACCGGTTATCCTTTGCAACCTGGAGAAAATATTTCCACCTGCTTTTTTGACGTTATGGAACATCTTCCTATTCACCTCCCTAAGGAGGTAACACTTGGCGGACCAGTTCAATATCGATGGACGTATCCTTTTGAGCGATATATGTTCCACCTGAAGAAGAAGGTGAAAAATCTTGCAAGAGTCGAGGGTTCTATTGTTGCGCAAAACATTAATGAAGAAACTTCAAACTTTGCTGGATATTACTTTCCATCACAAGTCCAAAAGAAAAGTAGACGACCTGCACGATATGATGATGGAGGGGAAAGACCTAGTTATCCAATATATGTCTCCAATACATTTGCACAAATTGGACGATTAAGTGGAAAAGGCAAGAAGAGACGAATATCGGAAGAGGAGCGAAATCACGTACATATGTATATCCTGACAAATTGCGAAGATGTGTTGGAATATGAGAGGTATAACATTCGTAATTAATTTTATTAAAATTCTTAAATTAATTTTATTATAATATTCTATTAACTAATTAATTATTTGTAATTGTTTTTGTTCATTCATAGGATATATATGGATCAAATACGATGCCACTATCCAAATTACACAGATGATGAATTTGCTGTCCTCAAACAAACTGAGTTCGCGAGTTGGTTGCAATATTACGTAAGTGTTATATAATTCTTAATTTAGTAACGATAATTAAATTATATGTGACCATGGAAAGGGTTGGGCAGGATTGAGGATCTCAACGGTGGAACGGCATCATGTTTTCAGTACAGCGAAGAAATCATTCGAATGAACGAGGAGCTGAAAGACAAAGTATTTATTTTGGAAGCTGCGAAAGCAGATACAGAAGAGCGGTTTGCTAGTACACAAGAAGACCTCGCCAATACACAAGAAAAGTTTGCCAATATGCAAGATGAACTCGCCACAACGAATTCAACAGTCCAAAGCATGGTCGAATATATGAATTCAAAGTTTGCAGATTGTCCACATTTCCAATGATTTCTTGTAAAACCTTTTTTTAATTAAGTAATTTATCATTTCTATTTTAATTTTTTAATTTTATAAATAGAATTATCATTTATTTTTATTTTTGATTGAAAAAATCTAAATTTTATTTAATTATTATGTTTTTAATATATCATTGGAAATCAGTTGGGAAAGTTTTTTTGAGCAATTTCATCAGAAATCCCTCGGAAAATAAGGAATCTCAGAAATGCTTCGGAAACAAAATACCTTGGAAATCTGTTGGGATTCAAGTTCTCAGAAATCCGTCGGGATTTTGGTTCTCTGAAATCCATTGGGATTTAGGTTCTCATGAATCCACCGGGTATCTATTGAAAAATAGGTCATTGGAAATCTGTTGGGTATTTTCCTCCTTCGGGAATCCCTTGGTATTTATCGAGGCTTTACCGACAGATTTTAATTTTCGATGTGATAGTCCCGATGATCAAAATTCATTGAGAATCCCTCGGAAATCGCTGTTCCCGACAAAATTCCAATGATTTTGGCCGTCTGGAATAGCCTATTTTCTTGTAGTGGTAACATCTAAGAAAGCATTGAAAATCCTTATTGTAGACAAGGAAAGAAAACCACAAAAACAAACAATGAATGTTGTTTTCAAAGAGGTATTCCAAAATTTCAATTAAGTGAGTTCCTACCATTTTTTCATTTAAAGACATTATACTTTCTGGATTATACTTTGTTCTTTATAAATATTTGGCGTGAGTTTTAAATATTTCACTTTTGTGGATCTATAATACATATTCTATTTCAAATTTACACTTTAAACTTTGAAAATACATAAATTAGCACCAACCTAAAACAGTATTCAAACCAATCCATCATTCTTAAATAAAAGATAACCTATAATACATTAAAATTTCTAACATCTCTAAAAATCAAATTTAAATTAAATATGAATCCCGCACTCATGTGCGTGCTATATCCTAATATACATTTCAGTTTGGTTCATATATATGTAGACAGAACAAATTAGAATAAAAGTGAAATAAAAAATTTGCACATAAAATTGGGCCAATGACATTATATATGCATGTATATTTTGAGTTTTATGAATGCTTATACAGTCCAATCTTTGTTTTTTTCTTGAACACAGCATTTTACTTTGAGATATTTGATAAATATATAATAGATTAATATATAAAAAAATATGATGTTGGATAAATTCTTGAGAAATTTTAATTCGCTGATATCAACAATATATCTGATGCATAAACACTCAAAATAACAACAGACATCAACCAAAAAACACCAAAATAATAATAATATTTGGAGAGCATATATATTTATCTTTTTGTCAACTGGCATATATAATATATGAATACACATCAATGTCAAGCAGACAATGTATAAACTCAAAATCAACTGGAAGTATGGGCAAGCTAGCTCTCAGGCAGACACTTCAAATTTTATTTGTATTTTTTATTAATTTGTTTACACTTTGCTGTGTTTAGTTTTTGTAATCTCGTGAATATGGTATGGCAATGTGAAACCCAGACAATGTGATAGTTATGTGCGCTTGTTGGATGAGACAAAGTACGAACATTTTTATAAACTACAAGATTGAAAGAAGAACCCATGAGTCGAAATTACATGTATATGTCTTGTATTGTATATATCCACTTGATCCAGTCTATTTTCCGAAATAAATATTTTTAGATATGAATATGTAGGACATTAAATGTGAGTAACATGTTTTGCAAATAAACCAGTTTTATTTGAGAGGACATGCATGATAGTTTAGTGGTCTATTTTCAGTAAAATTTCTCCTTTTTTCTTATGAAAGGGTTTTAAATTCATTTGAAGCATTTAGTTAAGTGTTGCGATACCGATACGTACGTGAGAGACTGAGCGTTAGGGAGAAAAAACTACTCGCTTCCTTTCGCCATATTGTCAAATATATACATTTTCATCTTAAGAAAAATATAATGGGACATGAAACAAATTACAAATTAATCTATTTTTTTACGGAATATTTTTTTTTCTTTTTTTTGTAACTTATATAACTATCATAAATACGTTTAGCTACACATGCAAATATGAGAAGGACCATATTGATCCATCGGAAAAAATCTGACTCCCTACATCAACAATTCTTTTTGAAATATTACATATAGTAGTAGAGTACAACTGTGATATAGTCGTACAATAAATATGTCCTTATCCGTTTCTACTATATTTTTTTGTACCAGACTATAGAAAGCTGTTTATACATAAACTTAGTTATAATGGCTCGTATACTTGGTGAATTTATGAATTTGGGAGCATTTATATATTGTGCATAAAATTATAACTAATACATAAAATTAGTTATAATGGCTCGTATACTTGAAATTATGATTTTGGGATGCATTTATATGTTGTGGATCAAAAATCATATAAAAGTTCTTGATTGATCATAACTAATTTACAGAAGTTAAACTAGCTACTCCTCTCAAGATCACAGGTCCGTTGACTTGAGGGAAAAAAGTCTCCCATCCAATCCCAACAATTACAAAATATTATTAGAAAAAAACACAAAATTTAAATTTTAGTAAAAGAAAAAAAAGACAAATCAGGTTGATGCCTAACACGAAGCTTGTTAGCCATTTCCCTCCGTCTTAATTATCAGAAAACCTTTAAAAAACCGATTTCATTAATAAAGAGATTTCTTCTTCTGACCATCTCGTAAGCTAAACGTCGTCTTTCTTCGGTGTTTGAGTCTCCGATCGAATATTATCTGAACATGGAGATAAGAGACCTGAAAAACTCTTCATCACAAGGTAAGATTAGACCCATATTATGGTCAAAACCAAACTCTTCCTCGGCTAGTCGGAGCAACGTTTGAAACTCGGATTGTTCGAGCCACGAGATGGGAACGATGTACCGACTTCGGTTCGGTCCAACGTAAACCGGAAAATGACCTTTAGGCACGTCTTGTGGAAGATGATCTTCTTGATTGTAGTAGCAACCATTCACGTTCTTCTTCTTCCCTAGACTCGAGCATCTCTTTAAGATTTGCTTGATAGATGCTGCTTGAGACGACTTCTTTATTGCCATGATTTTGTTTGAAAACTTTTTGTCTTTTTTTTCTGAAACTTTGGGTTTTGTTTGTAGAATTGCTATGAAAGGTTAGAGGTACATGGAGAAGTATTTATATGGACAAATTGGAAATGCTAATAAATTAATATAAAAATAATAATATGCTTACTATAGCTATATACTTTATAGTTAATTGGGTTTGATTACTTATGACGACGTTGACTAAATAGTGACTATCTCTTTTCTTTTTGTTAAAAGCTAAATAATGACTATATAGTATGTATTAAAGGTATGTTTGAATATTGACTATATAGTAACCATATATATCATGTATTGTTAATTGAATGTTGAACATTTACATGCACATATAGATATGTAATTATATTTTTAGACTAGATGCACAAGACTATAGTTTTCTAGTTTTGTTAATTGATTTATATAGATCATAGTTAGGTTAATTAGTTATGACGTTGATAAAGTTAGTGACTAGATATTTATATGTATAAAACTATAAATTAGACGTAAGAAAAAGATAAGAAATACATGCAGTGATTTGGATAAAATCAATGAAACACACGTCAACACGTATAGTTTAGGTAAAACATTTATAGATTAATTAGTGATGGCATCTCAATTAGTCATGTGACATTGCAAAGCGTATGCATGGAGTCGAGTTCAAGTTTCACTACGCCTTCCAATTAATCTGGTGTATATATACATAATTTTGAATATAAATTATGTTTTTAGTTTACAGTAAAACCTATATAAATTAATAACGTTGGAATTTTAAAAATTTATAAAAAAATATTAATTTATAATAATTATTAATTTATAGATATATTATTTGATCGGTAAACTAATTTTAGAATTGGCAAAAGCTATTAATTTATCGAAATATTAATGAACCGAGTATTTATTTATAGAGGTTCTATTGTATTTATTTTAGATTGAATCTCACTTTTATGGATCGACTGATTTGAATTTATACTAGAGTTTTGATCATAAGCTTTCAACTCAAAAACTTATTGATAATTCCTATCCGATGATATAACCTTATATTTTGGGATCACATAAAGCCAAATGAAAATTCCTGTTTGGATTCAAATTAGGACATCTAGATTCTTTGTTCTTGTGAAAGCAAAATCATGTGGGATGTAGGATGCAAGGGAAAATAAACACTGAGGGACAGAGCCAATAAGGACGCGAGAGAGAGCATTTAAAATTGTGAAAGAGAATGTATACAAAAATAAATTGGGTCGGGACTATAACGTTGCCCTACAATGTCTCCCTTTTGCCTTTACATACTTAGACACAATTTTACAAACAAATATTCATTTCCTTTTCCCTTACCTCTAATATCTTAATATATCATATGCATGAGAGCATGGCCTGTTATATATATATCATGTATCTATGTACATAATTACGGACGAAATAAAAGAGTTTTTGTAAGTTGTAACAAAAGTACGTACTTGTGTGGATACACATATATATAAGGGACTCGACACAAAAAGATATCGTAAAACCCTTTGCCTTTATTTTGCATACGTACACACGTGTATTTTTGCAGCAAAGTTATTTTGCTAGAACAGAACATTATTGAAAGTTTGAAACATACATAAACGCCCATTTTCTCTCAATGAAAAGATAAAGAGAGGGAACATGTTGTTTTTTTGCTAACAATGTCTTGTCTTAAGTTACCATTTTAAATTTTGCAAAAACGGCCAAGAACATCTTTTCAGTAATATGTTTTTTGTTTTAGAAACTACTAAACTACAACTGTTTGACTTTAAACAGATCACTTAATTATCCAAATTATATGTTTTTACAATTGTGTGGGCAAGTTTTAACCGGTTCTTTTTAATATAATTAATCCCCAAAGTCTATTTTGAATTCTTCTGAGATGACAATAGTTTAGTTAATCAATTTTTATTTTGTTTTGAACATACATATAATACATAACTAAGATAATGATAAATGGTAATCATAAAGGATTTATGTTCCCATGTGAGAATTAGAACAATGCTTTAGGCTTGACACCTAATTAATCTTTTGTTTTGTTATGAATATCCATCCTTGAGGTCGATGTCTTGTGTTTACGTACTTCTTCGCCGTCCTTAATCATATTTTCAATAAAAAAAAAATTCTTCTTATCTTTCTCTGTTCTTAATTTATAATGTGATCATAATAAAAAAAAAAACATATCAAATCTTAGTTTTCACCTTGGATTTTTTTATAGTAAAAAACAACGAATACGCATGCGATGAATACGTTACTTATATGTAACAATAAATTAACAAACGATACTACTTCTAGTTACTTAAACCAGGTTTTAACTTTTAACACTATCTTTTTACCATTTCAGTTTCATCTTTTCATGATGTTGTTGATCAATATGGTTTAGAAACTAGCTATATTTCTCACTTTTTAGCCTATCTGAATCTAAGAGCCATAGCAAATAAATCACTTTTAGTCAGGTGATAAGTACAAAACAATAAAGAAATTAAATAAATCTTCAGAAGAAAACAAAGCAAGAAACAACAAATAAAATTAAAAAAAAAAGTCAAAAGGATGGGTGGTGTAGGATCAAAGTGTGGACAGTGAGATGATGGTGGAACAATGACACTTGGCTGACTATAATTGGGGCACTTGTTGTGGTTATAACTCGGAGACATTATCAATTCATTCTTCCTTTGACATCAACCGAAAGCCCCCAACACCTTCGTCTCTTTAAAAATAAACTTATAATGATTCAAATTATAACATTTTTCATATACTAATTTTGTTACAAAAACTTAAAATTGGTTAGGCTGATGAAGCTTAAAAAAGGGATGTTGTCGAAATGTGGTAAAAAACATATTCATTTCGACAAAATGTTATACGAATTCCACATAGAAAATAAAACAAAACATGAGCTAATTCATTCATCATTGAATTGTTTTGGAAATCAAACCCTACATATATATATATATATATATATGAATATTAATAAATACATCATGAAAAAAGTGGTGAAAGATAACTCTTGAAAACAAAATGCATACAAAAATGAGTGAGGCGTCAGATTAATTGTGTCACTGATCAATGACATGTATCAATTGTCTATGAACAGATATTTGATCACTATTATCTTATCCTGACTTTCACAACTTGACAGTAACATGTTTATTTCGGCAACAAACACGGTTATCAGAATTTTTAAATATTAAAAAAATATAGGAAACTCATAGAGACCATCCAAAAAGAAAAGGGTAAAAATGTTCAACATTCACAAAAAATTGGGCAAAAAGGGTAATAATAATAAAAAAAAAAAGAAGAAACAAGAAGAAGACAAAGGTATTAGAAAAAAAGTAAGAGCCAAAGAGAAAGAAGAGGAAGAGGCTTAACTTAAGTGTGAAGGGTCCATTGTCTTGAAATCAAAAGACTCACCCATGTGGCTACTATCCAAAAACCTAAAACACCACCAGCAACACCAACTAAGCAAAGATTGTCATAATACATAAGCAGACATATATTCCTCACCATCCATTTTGAGCCACCAATTTGATTTTTTTTATTGTATTTCTTTAGATAACCTAAAGTGGGGAAGTTAATTCCCCATGTTCTATGGCCACAAAGAACAACAATGATTTCGACATCTTTGTCTCTCTCTTTCGGTTTCCATGGTCACATGTGATTTTTTTTCTTTCAATTTCTGAGTTTCACTAAACAAGAGCCTGATACATGTCATTGTCACAGGTCCCTACCCATGATCAGAAGTGAATGTGTGCTTCTTCTAACATAGAGAGAGAAAGAGAGAAGAAACTAAACCAATATGCAAACGTCTAATACCGACGCATCCCCACATGTTCTATTGAATGAAAGTGACAACAGACGATAAGAAGATGACTTACATGTAGAAGAAAAGGAAAATACTGGTTTTGAAATCATTCTCCTCCTCACTTGCTTCGTCCATTGCTTCCTCTGCTAAACAAAGAAGGCATGAAAGATACAGAGCTTTTACCTATAGAATACTTAGACAACATCGTCATGTATCCAACTAAACCATTTTAGACTCTGCAGCTGTTTCAAGTTGTGTTTTTACACATTCACAAACCTGTGATGCCAATGTATGACAAGAGAAGAGTTTAAGGGAGACGCAAACAAGATGAGCTAAAGCATATGCATTTTTGTACTTTTGTCTCATACAACCATATTGACCACAAATGCTCTTTTCTTTACATGTTCTAACCGTATTGAGATATATCTGGTTTTTGCACCCCATTGACATATACGAACCGTATCACACAAAACTTCCTAGCATACTTATCCCTGTTGTTAACATTCATTGCTAGACGAAGACTATAGTTCTTCCGATTCCACATCTACCATGATAAACTGTCTTTTTAGCTCGGCGATATCAGCTTGTACCTATCACATATAGTAAAATGATAAAGTCAGATAATAAGCATTTCTATAATAACATAACCATATCCTACAAAACCAAGACAAAGCCAAACAAGAATATACGTCCAAACAGTGGTGTGGCTGTATCATCCAACTACTATTTCCGTTTAATTACTAGCTACGTTTACCACACTCTCGAGTCTAACTACTAATTCAAGTTTGAAAGCAGAGGAAAGTGTTGCTGTATCGTCACGTTAAAACTGTATATATGAAATCATGAAAGGTAAGTTTAGCTGCAAAAAACCTTGTGACGAGCTGAAGTAAGTTTAAAAAGCTCGTCTGCTTCTGAAAACTTCAAAAACCATGGGCTAAGCGGATGATCCTTGGTGTCTCCCTTTCTCATCTCATAATAAGTTTCTGCGTCCCCTGCAACATCACAGTGCGATTAAGTATCATACCTAATAATAAACTGATTCACTAGACACCAGAACAAGAATGCACCTTGAAGAGGCAGGTCGAATCCATCTGGGAGCTTGGAGATGTGAACAGCCGGGTGATTATGCGCACGGGCGAGGAAACTCTTAAATGGGTCAGGGAAGACAATCTCATTGTAGGACTCAGAGACAACTGGTATCTTGGGAGACTGAGGACCACTGTAAATCTCAGGGTTCAGCTTTAGCAGGTGAGACCTGTAAAGAAGTTCAATAGATGCTAAGAGAGATGTAAAAAGCAAACTTAATCCACTGAAAACTCACACAATCACAATCACAAGGCGGCACGCACAACTCCAACTTCTTTTCACAGACATCGTTATGGAGGAAGATGGTGATATCGATTTTGAACTCTCCCCAGCCACACTCAGACAATGTGAAAGGAAGCGAATCAACAACTCTAGTAGGGTTCTTGAAACTTGGATGCAAGTGGAAGATGACTTTCCTTATAACAACACCAAGATCTTCGTTCGTAGCTCCGCGTACATAGACAGTCCAATTATGTGTTCGATACCTAGTTGATGAAAAAACATATACAAAAAGCAAAGATTGAAAGGTGATGATAAAAGAAGAAATTTGAAGATAAGAATCGCTCACTCTTTAGCTAACTTTCCACGGAAAAAAGCAACCGATCCACACACAATCGGAACAGAAACTTCAACATCTCTCACCCTTCTTCTCCCAATCTACACAAATCACAGAAATTCAGAAACATTTGAAGTTTTTCGAAGACGACGAACTTTTCCCGATAAAATAGTCTAAAGCAAAATGACAATGTCCGATTTCATAGCTTCACCGTAGAAATTCCATAGACGCGAGCATATACCAAAGAAAACGAAAACAACGAAAAACCCAGAATCTATCATCGGAGAAAGAATCAGAAGGTGGCATTTTAGGGTTATTCGGCAACAGAGTAGTACCTTATCGTCGCGATCATCAATTAGTGCGCCCATTCTGAAAATGCGTCGCTTCGGCGTAGAAGCAGGAGCTTCAGAGAGAATCTCCACATCAGAATCCATGGTTAACGAAGAAATTGCTTAGAAACAACGAATTTGCCAAACAAAAAGATTTGGGGTTTTAGAAACTCTACACAAGTCTACACGTGGATGAATCCTATTTGCCATGTCATGTGCGATTCTGCCACGAAGGCAAACTTAATGAAAACATTCTTGCCGTCTGATACACAGACGTAAGAACTACCTGCCGTTTTGGAGTAGAAGCAAAACATAATCCTATTTGATTTTGCAGAAGCCAAACATATAAAAATCTACAGATAAAGTTACAAAAAAAATGGAACACAGCAATGAATAATCAATCTCTTCTGTGAATCATTTGTCCCAGGATGAGAAAGATGAGAATAAGAGAGAAGCTGAGCCTCTTAACAAATGCTGGCAAATTCAGATGTTTGATGCACTTAAAGCCATAACTTTGCATTGTTCATTCAAAGCCAGAAGCTGAGCCTCTTTCTTGTCCAGAAGTGCCGTCAACTTCACATTCTCCTCCATCAGTTTCTGAACTTCAACCTCCTTCTGCGCCTTCTCCCCCTCTAACTGCGTCGTCTTAATGACCAACCTGCTTCCCCATTAACACAAAATCCAATAAAATGCAGCAAAAAGGTTTAGGCTTTTGTGGTGAAGAAGAAGAAGAAGAGATTAGTGAGACTGACCGTTCGAAGAGCTCTTCGATGGATTTGAATTGCCTCTCCGACGAAAGAAGTGTTTCTCTAACATTGGTAAAAGTGCTGACATAGCTTTTAAGCAACTCGAACTCTCTCTTCACACGACACAGCTCCTCCTCGTTCTCCACAGCTTTTTCCCTCTGCCTCACCGTCTCTTCGACCAGCTCCTGGATCCTTTCCCGCAGTTCGTCAAGAACACTATTAGTCCCATGAGCGAACTGCTCCATCTCTTCTAGCTTCACCGACAGATTATCGATCTGCACCGTCTTCCTACAAATCTCCTCCTCTCCCAAAAGCACCATCTCCTTCTGAAAAGCCGTCTCAGATTCCGCTTCTGTAACTCTCCTCACAAGAGACTCGAGCACATCAGTAACCATCTCTATGGACTGGAGCATCTCGCTAGTATAGGCCCCATCCTCTACATTCCTAGACCCTTGAGAAGACGAACCACCATCATCTCCTTTCTCAACAACGTCGCATGAGAGATCAGGAATGGCCAAGATCATAGCTTTCGATCTCAAATAACGCAACATCGTCGCGGTCTTTCTCACCCTACCAGAAAGAACACCTAACTCCTTTCTCGCATCTTCCTCTGATGAACCAAACTCAAGGTAAGCCTTCACATCCAAAAGCTCAGCTTCTAAACTATCTACCTGAAACCGACGAGACTCCAATTCACTCCTCCAAATCTCACTGGCTTCATGGGTTAAAGACTCTTGCGCAGATGCATTAGTTTCCTCTTTACAAGCCATCCCCTGCCTCTTCAAACTGCAATAACCCAGAATAAAAAAGACATCTTTAACCTAAGTTAAGGACAGATCTAGCTTCTGTTTCATATAAAAGACTCTCTACTAAACCAATCATTAGCCTTTTTTTTAGCTTCCTCTCAGTTTGAAACAAAGGGTACATTTCAGATAAAGATAATTGAACTTAGGCTATCAACAAAACGAGGATCAAGACGATTCTCTCTGGTCAAAAACACAAAGCTTTAAAAGAGAACCTTCCATAGTTGAATTATCATCTTCGATCATATGAGCTATATTGAAAAGGTATGAAACACAGAACACAGGTAAAATAAACGAGGGGAGTGATGATTTCTGAGGATAAACCGATATGAACAATGATTAAATCGACTCAATCCTACAGAAATCGAAATCGATCGGGGAAAATCTTAAAAAAGAGTTTGAAATTATCATACAAATAAGAAAAAAAGATCCTCACAATTCGAGATCATAAAGCTTGGAGATTTGCTCCGGCGGATTGATAAACAGGAACGAATTAGAGGAGGCAAAGAAAAAAACTTAATCCTCCGTCGGGGGTTTTCCGAAGAGAGCGGGTGAGAATGAGATGGAAGGTAGAGACGAAGACAATTTACAGGAAATGGGAAAGGACCAGCTGCTTTGCTTTTGTTGCTCCTCTACTTTAATTTCTTTTGATTTTTTTTTGTTGTTTTCCTTTTTTATATTATATTAATATTCATACAAAATAATATTTTTTCCGTTCCGGAATATATCATATTTTAAATATTTCAAAGATATTAATAAAACAATGATTATTTATTTTTCTAAAGTACCTTTTATTTATTTATTAATTTAATACTTATTTAAAAAAAAAAAATTTACCCAAAAAATTATTTTGAAAAAAGAAATATATTAAATATAATATAAAAAAACAAAATAAAAACCCAAAACATCATCCACTATGAAACAGAGAGAGTATCGTATACTGCATTTTTTTAATCATTCAATCATCTTTAATTAATTAAATAAACTTCCTAATGTGCTCGTAAAACCACTGACTTTATTTTAAAGTAAATAATTGAATCCGAGTTGAAAATTGAATCCGAGTTGAAAATTGAATCCGTCTCAAGCAAGTTTTTTTTTTTAAACCAAGAACCCCAATAACACTAGTAAATAAGAAAAGCATTAAACAGATTCAACAAAAGTGTGTCAGGCTCAGTGACCAGACGATGAAGACGAAGCGACCGGGCCTCCCAAGCCCATCTTCTTACCCAAAAGCCCAAGCTGTTCCACCAACTCACTTCCGGTGAGAATCTCAGTGGCTCCGTAAATAACGTTCTTAACGGTTAACTGTCTCTGAGTCAGCTCCTGCAAACTCCCATACTCAACGTAGTTTCCTCCACCGATCATGAACACCATAGCTTCTCTAAACGGTCCCTTCACGTGGCTACCACCACCACCTGAGCTAGACTTTGGGGCTCTCGGGTCAAGCAAGAGGTAAGAATCGAACTCTGGGTTCGGTTTTCCTTCGGTTAAAGCCTCAACGGTTCGAGTCACCGCCAATTGTTGATCACTAGACAACAGATTCTTGACTCCTGCTGTGACCGCGCTTATAGACTGCCCGTAAAGCTTCTCTGCCCAGTCTACAATGTTGCTTCTGCTTGCTGAGTTCGCCGAAGCTGCAAGAGATACGTTCAAGGATTTGATCTTCTTCACGTACTGAAACGCGCTTGTGTCAGCTTCGGCTTCGTTCAGTGCCGCTTCCACTGATTCGACTTCTGATTGGTTTATTGTCTCTGTTGAGATCAAGTACATGATTGCGAACCTGAGCTTGTCCATCTTTGTGCCTTTGCCTTTTAGAGCAGCCATGAGCTCGGCTCTGTCGATCCCGCCTCTCACCATCATGTCGCTCTCTTTCTTAGTGTAAGCGTCGATGGATCTCTCCTTGATCTGTCCCAAGAGCGCCGTCGCGATGTTTGTGTGTTTGTCAATCACTTGCTTCCTCTCCGTTAGCTCCGGGAGCGAGTTCACAGCGTTCATGAGATGCTTGGTGTTTCCGATCAGATCCGTCCCGTCAAACTCAGCGCCGCTCCCGCCTCCGGTCCTCTTGTTAACCTCCTCCACGTCTCTCTTGTACTTGTTCAGCTGCGTCTCGATCTCCACGGCGACTTCTGGAAACTCCAGGGAGCTGTTCGCTGACCAGAACGGGTCAGAACCGTCCAGCTCAAACGACTGCATCCCTCCTTTCTCTCCCTGAACGTTCAGTCGGTTCAGCTTCAACCCGAGAACGTCGTGAACAAGAGGCCTGTACCGAAAATCATGCTGAATCCCAACGGAGAGCTCGAAGTTCCTGTCGAAAATGCACAGAAGCGGACGCTGGAACGAGCTCATGAAGCCGCCTCCTTCGGTAAACAGATTGTTCTTGGACAAAAGATGATCCCTCAGTTTCTGATCCAACAACGTCGCCACCATCTCTGCAGGACCACCACGAGGGCACCTGATAACAGGGGCCACACCGAGCGTTACCAACACACAGAACAAACCACTAGCGACCTTTTCGATGATCTCCTCGATCTCTTTATCTCCCGCCGATGGATCGTTGAGCTGAACGTAGGTAGATTGCTGTGCAAGAGAGAACAAGTTATCTTCCAGAGTCACAAACTCGAGATACTGATCATGCACTTTCGAGACTTTCTCAACGGAGCTAGACTTGAGAGTCCCCGAAGCGAGTTCTTCGAGGAGCTTGCGAGGGATGGAGGAGGAGAAGTTGAGGTGGAAAGTCTGGTAGAGAGTGTTGGAAGCATCGGCTATGATCCTATGGATGTTGGATTGAGTGGGCTGAACAAAGTACACGGCGGGAACATCGTGGACGGGTTTTCGATCTTTGTCTATGAGGAAGTAGAGCGTGACTCCATGCTTGCGAAGATCCTTGACGTGGATCAATGGAGATAGAATGTTCTGGCAGAATCTGTCGTAGATCAAGATCTTGTAGACTTCCTCGTTTGCTGTTCCACTTTGATTCAGAGGCTGGTTCAGATTCAGCATCCGGATTATACATTCTGCAAACGCAGAGATCAAAGATCCAAACATTAGCATTCTTCGTTTCCAGATTCCTCAAAACTAAAAATTCAGCATATCTATAAGACGACACAATATCAATAGATCGAGGAGCAGAGAGGCGAATCATCGGAGAAACTGAGATAGATCGCTCACAGGCAGAGAGAGAATTTACCGGTCTGTTTCTGGCGGAGATTGAGAGCCATGGAAGCTTAAGATCCGGTGGATCAGAGGAAAACTTGTCGATTCCGAGCTACAATATCTCTAGATCGAGATAAGGTGATTCAACGAAATGGGTTCTGAGAAAAATTCAGGTAAACAATGAAAGCAACAGAAACACTGAGATCTGATATCCCAATTCGATCTAGAGAAACTTCAAAACCCAAAATCAGTAACGAGTGATGAAGAAGAAGTATGTAACGATTATTATTATCACCTGGAAATTGGAGAGGAGGACGACGAAAGAAAATTCCGATGTAAAAAAAGAAACGAAATTTCGCCGTAGAAACAAATGGGCCTAATGAGCCGAATCAGTTTTTACAATAAACTTGGCCCATTTATAATCTTTTCTTTCTTTCTTCAACTCTCTCTCCTTCTCCCTCCTCTCTGCACGAAAAAGGTGAAGCCCGGATATTCGTCGCCGGAGACTGGAGTTTCCGGGAGCAGAATTCAGAAAAAAATGGGAGATGGAAGAGAAGGAGACTGGGAATGTTTAGGTTGCGGTAACAGGAACTACGCGTTTAGATCATTCTGCAACAGATGCAAGCAGCCTCGTCTTTTCATGGATAGCAATACCTCTCCAAACTCTAAGTGGCTTCCTCGTATCGGAGATTGGATCTGCACAGGTTCGTTCTTTTCCTTCTTCTTCTTCTTTCTCCTATCTCAAATTCAACTCGTTGATACCGCATACGCGTTGAAAAATATTCCGATGATAGAATCAAGTCTGTGAATTTGTAGCAATACTAGGAAATGGATCTGAATCTTAAGTTCTGAGTTCAAAGCCTTGACCTTTTTCAATTGCCCATGGTTCTGCGTTCAAAGCCTTGACCTTTTTCAATTGCCCATGGTTCTGTGTTCAAATCCTTAAGCCTTTTTCAAATACCCTTTTCCATTTGATGATTCATTAGATTAGAACTGTGGATTAGGCCTTTACTTATTGATGATTCATTAGATTATAATTGTGGAATAGGCCTTTACTTATAAACTAGGTTGAGCTGTTTTTTGTGTATTCTGTGTTATGTTGGTATATGGAAACTGCTGGTGTGTGTGGTGTGGTGTGGTGTGCGTTGCGTTGCGTATCTTCTTCGTGCTGCGTTTTGCGTTGTGGGTGTGTGGTGTGGGCAATAGGTTGCACTAACAACAATTATGCATCACGAGAAAAGTGTAAAAAATGCGGACAACCAAAGGAAGTAACAGCCTTGTCGGCACTTGCGGTCCCTGGAGCGTCTCTTCAGACTCATCTCAATTACTTCACTCGTGGACATGAGCCAATCGATCAACCTGGTTCTTTACTTGCCTTCACTAACACTGCAAGTCAAGCTTCGGCTCTTAAAGAATGGAGGAGCGGTGACTGGATTTGCAGATGTGGGTTTCACAACTATTCGTCTCGTATACAGGTGAGGAGGAGAAGTTTGGTTCATTGGTTTAGGTTAACCGGTTTGGTGTGTGTTCCAGCTTGTTGTTTACTCATTTTTGTAATGTTTCTGCAGTGCAAAAAGTGCAACGAAACAGCTCCATTAGGTATGGCTTTTTGTCTAATTTGAACACATTTTTTGTGGAAAACAAGTATTCGTTTTGAGAAACTTGTTTGTTTTGGTTTGCAGCCCTTGGAACAAAGAGATTAGCATCAGAAGTTTTGGCTCATGAATGGGATAGCAAAAGACTGAATCAAGGATATGTAAGGATTACTTTTTGATTAGCACTTTTTAAAAAATATTGTAGATAGCTGCATAATCTTGGCTCTGTTTCTTCTTGACTCTTTGTGGCAGACAAGCATGCAACATCAATCAGCGTTATATGCGTCCTTTCCTGGTAACATCTCAAATTGGCAACTTCCTCTCCCGCTTCTACAGCAACAACATTCAGCACCTGCTCTACTTGGAAAGGGGTACATACTCTATTTGATCTCTGATGGAAACTTCTTGACGAACTTTTCCCAATGCTTTACTTTTATTGCTGTTATGTAGAGCAAAACAATGGCGTGATGGAGACTGGATGTGCACAAATTGCAAGAATCACAACTATGCATCACGATCAGAGTGCAATAGGTATGATGAAATATCTCTTCTGGTTCTTTGCATTGAGTTAAACGTAAGGTAAACAAAAGTCAAAGAGACAAATCTGTTTTTCTTTTTAATGTCAGGTGCAAGACTAAACGAGATATCCTTGAGCAGGACACAACTCCAGCACAATCTTGAAGAGTATTATATTCTTTTTTGTTTGTCTCCAAACCAAAACTAAACCGAGAACACAACAAGTTTAACAAACCGGTTTATAAAATTTGGGGCTTGGGCCTACTAAGTTGTAGTTTCTTTGATCGGAGGCAACAGTTTAAAACCAATCTTCTCCGACGCTTCCAAACCTAAAAGAAAAAACCCTAATTTCTCCGATCTAAAATCATGAGCAACGAAATAGTTTTCTTTGTCTCTGATATTTCTTCACAACAAGCCTTCATTTTGGGAACAAAGAGATTAGCATCATAAGTTTTGGCTCATGAATGGGATATCATATAGCAAAAGACTGAATCAAGGATGTGTAAGGATTGGTTAGAGCGTATAATTTGATTAGCACATTAAATATTGTAGCTGCATTTATAATCTTGGCTCTGTTTCTTCTGACTCTTTTGTACAGACAAGCATGCAACACCAATCAGCGTTATACACATTACTCGAAACTAAGTTTTAATATAAGCCTCAAAATGTTTGGAACAGAGAAAGCTTTCATTTTTTTTTTTTAACCCTTTAAGATGTTTTTAGGATCAAGAGGTGGTGTATCAAGCTGATAAAGATTCAAAGCCGGTCCAACAAACCGGAAAAGAATCCAACCTCCAATCACAATGTAGATCGAAGCGTAAGCCAATTTGTTCAGCCAAAACAACAAACCTTTCTCTCCTACGTAAAGCTCCAATGCTTTCTCATTCAATGTCATCTCTTCCCATGGCTTCTGTACACTAGTCTCTGCTTTTTTCTTTTGCCCTCCTCCTTCTCCTGAACCTTCTTCCCTCATTTTCCTCCTCGACCCTCTTCTGAATCTTATCTCCACTCCATCCAACGGCTGAGAGATCTTCTCGTCGCCGCCATTGTTGCTCCCACTGTTTGAGCAGTTTATTGAGAGAGATTGTCTTTTGTTACGACGAAACACGATCTGGGTCTGTGTGATTGCGCCGAAATATTGTTGCTTCAGATTGATAATAGCTGGTTTAGCTGAATTGGGAGCTAAAAAGTGGAGAATTTTCATTTTTTGGAGCAGTGAAGAAGAAAGGAACGATTTTGCAAAGATAAGCTTTTTTTTATCCTCAACTGAAATCCTTTGACCCACTCGTTTCTCGCCACGTAGCAACTCCAAAATTAATGGGCTTTTTATAGTAATTAAACGGCCCATAAGTAGTTATATCCTCGGCGGCTGTTGAAAATACCGAAAATACCCTCACACAATCGGCAGAATCACAGTGACAAAAGAACAAGACTTCAAATCGTGGACTTGCCAAAAAATCAAAGACGATTTGATTTGCGAGAACGGAATCGAGCGAAAACAATGGAAGACGACCCTTTTCTCCGGCAGTTCCATCCGTCGGAGCTCAAGATCGCTTCGGAATTTTTGACGAATTGGCTTTCCTTCTTGTCCAGAGATCTCTGCAAGGACTGCGTCCACGCTCTCTCCGATCGAATCCGCTCGCTTGACCCAGGTAAGAAGGATTAAAGCGGGAATACTTTTGATTTTCTCGGGAAAATTGAAATTTTCTGTATAGGAAACGGAGATTTTCTTTGTTCCCGAACTTGATTTACTGTGATGTTCTGCTATTTGGTTAAGGTAGTCATGCTGTGAAGAATCTATTTGAAACATTAGGGTTTGATGATTGGAACAAATAGGAAGGCGAGAGAGTAGAGTTTATTTGTTGTTAGAAATTCTCTGTTTACATACAATAAAAGTTACTAAAATTGGAGAGTTAAGTTATCGGCTTTAGGTTTTATCTAACGATTCATTCGTTAGTTGCTTATGAGAAATCGTATCTCCTTGTGTAGAACATTGTAGTAACACAGACGAAGTTCAGGGAGATGGTAAAGCTTGTTTGGAATCAGAAGGAACTAGTAACAATGTGGATGATGATTATGATGGGAAGTCTCCTAGAGATTTGGAAAATGGCGGAGACTGTGATAAGCCTTCATTAGGTAGTTGGAAAGAGAGTGGGATTTCATTTGGAACCGTGTCTGAAGTTCTTGATAGTGTTAGTGAACCGCCATCGAATGTTGGTGCTGCTGAAACGGCGAGCCCTCGAATGTCTTGGGCGGATATGAGTCAGGAAGAAGAAGATGAGTTCGAGGAGGAGGAGGAAGAAGAGGAGAGGGGATCGAGTAGGAAAGCTTCTGATGAGAGTCCGATGAAGACTCCAGAGAAACCTAAGCTATCAAGAGAGCAGAGAGAGAATCTCAGGCTGAGGCATGTGAAGAGAAAGAAAGACTTCATCTGCTTGGAGAGAATTAAGGGAAAGCTCGTTAACGTAGTTGATGGTCTTGAGCTGCACACGGGTGTTTTTAGCGCGGTGGAGCAGAAAAGGATCGTTGATCAAGTGTATCAGCTTCAAGAGAAGGGACGTAAAGGAGAACTTAGAGGTATAGCTTCTTGTTTTCGAATCTGAAAAATTGACCTAATATGTATCTAAATCATTGTCTTGCTCTCTCTCTCTCTCTCTCTCTGTTAGTGCGTACGTTCACTGCTCCACAGAAGTGGATGAGAGGCAAGGGACGTGTGACTATTCAGTTCGGCTGTTGTTACAACTACGCTACAGTAAGTAACTCGTTCCCTTTTTCTCGTTAAATTGTTTCATTGTAACAAAGAAGAAGTGAAGAAGTTTTGCATTCTTGTATGTTGTTGACAGGACAGAGCTGGAAACCCACCTGGTATCCTTCAACGTGAAGAAGTGGATCCATTGCCTTCTCTTTTCAAAGTGATCATTAGAAGGTTGATTAACTGGCATGTTCTGCCTCCGACCTGTGTGCCCGATAGCTGCATCGTCAACATCTATGATGAAGGTGACTGTATACCTCCTCACATCGACAACCACGACTTTCTCCGTCCCTTCTGCACCATCTCTTTCCTAAGTGAGTGCAACATCCTCTTTGGATCAAACCTTAAAGTAGAAGGTCCTGGTGAATTCTCGGGTTCGTACTCAATTCCGCTTCCTGTTGGGTAAGTAAGTTTCTTCAAATGAGACTTTTCATCACTCCTTGTCGAATAGTATTATATAACAAAGACATCGGTTTTTTTGGACATTTTCTTCAGATCGGTTCTGGTTTTAAAGGGAAATGGAGCTGATGTAGCTAAGCACTGTGTACCTGCAGTTCCAACAAAAAGGTTATCTATCGTTTGCGTCTGTTCCTTTCACAGAACAAACAACATTTTTTGTTTTACTGATTTGAGTTTGTTTTTCATTGTGGAACTTTTCAACAGGATATCAATCACATTTAGGAAAATGGATGAGTCAAAACGTCCGGTTTGGTTCACTCCAGAACCTGATTTGCAAGGGATCGAGCCACTGCCGTTGGAGCCGAACCTCTCTGGTTCTGCTGCAGGGTCCTCGGGATCAAACAACCATAGAGGACATGGTCGTAGAGGACGAGGCAACAATTACGACACGAGAGGTTACTATAATCCTGAGAGAAGCAGTGGAGGAGATTATGACTCTAGAGAATGGTCTTCAAGCCAGAGACGAGGAAAGCAACGTCCTGCTGGTAGAAACTAAGGTTTAAAATATACTGAAATTTATGGTTTTTTGTTCTCTTTCCTTAATTTATAGCCGATTTTCCACATTATAAATTAAACTTGTACAATATAAATAGCGTTCTGCTTCTTCTATTTTTTTGCTTTTTATAAAGAGTCCATTCAAACAATTTTGTGACCGGGGTATTTGTTTTTCTTCTTTTTTGAAATTGTGTAATGTGATATTACAGTTTAAATTTGTTTGTGGTCTAGTGTGAAACTGTGAATTGTTTTGTGGTTTGTTTTGCTTTTTCTTTATCTTTCTTCTTGTCAATTAATTGATGTGACTAAAGAATTTCGTTCGAATCAAAGCATGTATATATGGTAATCGATAACTGATTTGACCAAGTAATCATGCATTCTTCATCTATATTATGTTTCAAAGGTGATTTTCGTTTTCTATATTAAAATTCTATAATATATCGATCTTTAAATTCTATAAAGTTTCATGACATGTTACCAAATACCTATTATATGTATAACTTGTGAGAAGAAGGGTGGAAGAAGAGAACCAAGAAGAGGAGGAGGCGAATTGGATGCCACCAAGGTGATATTCCTTCCAAGTGCAACAGCCAAATTAATGGCCAGCATGGGAACCTTCAAGGACTTAATCATATGAGATTAGGACCCAACCATTATCTGCATGGGAGGCGTTAAATAATCTAGAATTTTACAAGTTGCACACCATAACAAAAAAATATGAACAGTTACAAGTTGCTGAATTGAAATGAAGAAAACAGAGAGCGACATAATGAAAGAACACGTGGGTTTAGGGATCTAAGAATCTCTTTTCTTAAAATCAATAGAAAGAGAGAAGAAAAAAGCTTTGGCCTCTTATCGAGTATGACACTTTATATCAATGAAAAGCGACGATGTAGTTATATACTATATGAGATATGGAATGATCTTCTCATCTCAAATCCCAATTTCGTTTTTTATTTTTTGAACATCATCATTCCCTTTTCTACCATTTTCCCACTTTCTAACAATGCATCCTATACCCTTTTTCTTGATATGAATAAACTGAATTTTTTTTGTTTTCTTAAAAATCATGCATCTATCAGTTTAACTTTAGATGATATTATTAGAAACATATTTTTTAATGTAAAACTGCCAAAATCAGTATTTTTAACTCATCTTATGATATTGCAATTTACACACAAATGACACAATCAGCATGCTTTTGAACTTAATACGACAGTTTTTCTTGTTTTTGTTTTTAAACGTGAACTCAAGTTTTATAATCTACAATATATTAAAGTAGAAATATCGTAAGTCATTTTTTGCAATGTATAAATATCATAGTTTTTTTATTTTCTCTTTTGATTTTTAAAATTTATTTAAGTTAGTATATTAAATTAATTGTTAAGCAATATCCTAATCTATATATTAAAATTAATTTTCAAACACTATTTAAAAGTAACTAAAGAAATCTTAGCAAAAAATGTATAAAAAATATTTAATAAATGATTGAAAAAAGAAAGAAAATATATATAATTTATATATAATAAAATTAAATAATTAATAAAATTTGATTCTAGTTTAGTTATGATTAAAACATATTAAAATGTAATTTAATGATTTATTATTATATTTGTTGGGTTTATAGGGGGGAAAGAGAGAGAAGAGAGGATGAGAAAATGATTACCCGTAAGAAAAGGAAAGCAAAAAAAGCAGCTTTGATGTGTTGTTGTTGATTTGGATAAAGGGATGTGTGTGTGTGTATGTGCATACAAAACACCTTTTCATATTATCCCATCACAAAGTATTGATCTGTCTTCTGTTGAACTGATCTTGACCATTTATCATTCCAAATAACGAACCCTGATTTTCTTAAGTTATCTTATATTAAATTTTTTTTTTGGCTGATTTCTGTAACATTTTTCTGCACGTTGTGTTCTTCGATATAAGAAAAGTTACGAACGTTTTATTTTCTTTTAATTAAGACCACAATTTTTTTTTAAAAGATCACATATTTTCTTTTAGGATGATGGTTTTTACTAAAAATTGTTGTTTATACAATACTTTAATATAATTTTCATACTTAGAGAACGTGTTTCATTTGATCTACACCATGCGCATAACTTTAAATAGTTGGAACCGTTTGTACTTTGAAAAGTACACTAGAGACACATTAGACAAATAGTAGCAAACATATATAGGAGATATGTGACAAAATAAAGGTGTTGATACAATGATATATGACCAGCTACAGGGTCGATCGAAACGTTGTAACCATGCAAGTGGTAAGAAAGGTGTTGTGGGCGATGATGTTTGCTCACAGTTCTGGTCGGCTAGACACTTTCTTTCTATATGGTCTCATCAGTTTGATCAAGCTACTATTTTCTTAAGATTTTTATAGTATTTTTGCTGTAAAAAAATAAAGATATGGTCTTTGGACAAACATTCTTTGCCTGAGGGACCAATAGAAGGGTGGGTTTAGATCATTTTTTTTTGGTTTTGATGTGGGGTTTACAGGTTATTAGTTTCTAGTTTTTATAATAGAAAATATGATATTTGTAGTATGATAATAAGAGTCTTTGGAAAAACATTGTTCCAATCAAATTAATCATCAAAAAGTGAAAACAAATCGCTCTCCTCACATTTTTTCATCTTTATCTCAGTCGAAGGCAATGATCACTTTTCTCTAACTTTCTAGGAAACTAACACTTTGCTTTTTCTTTCACTACTCTTCTTTTATCCTATTCCTTCTTAGAAAAAAGTACATGAACTACTACTATATAATAATCATACTATTGCCACTCTTTTTCTAGAACATGTAGAACAAAATTCTGAAAGTAATTGATTTTCCAACCAAATTTAAGTACTTTTTCGTATGAAGAATTTTATTAAATCTTTTCGTAATTAGTGTTAAATGCAGAAAATCACTAGTGTTAATTAATATATATATATATATATCCTAAAATAAAATCATAATAATTTGGTTTAAATCAGTAGTTCATTGCAAAAGGGAAGATAGGAATGGGAATATTAATGTAAAGGAAGCACAACAAAATTGGTAGTTCACTAGTGAACCTGATCATCACTATTAAAATGAGAGTTTATAGAATTTAAACATCACTATCAAACAATTCTGTAGAATTCAGAATTTAGTTAAAGTAAAAAAAAACACAATTCTTATATTATGCAAATTAATTATCACTATATATACATGAGTCCGTATCGTAATTTTTTTGTAAGTCGTCACGAGGTAGAGAACGTCATGTGCGTTGAATATTCTATGCAATTTTGCTCACACCGTATAATCAATAAATCGGTAAGAGCGACAGTGTGAGAGAGATAAGTAATAAATAGTCACAACCACCAAATGTAATTGGTGCAGTTGTGGGTGTAAGGTACACTTCTCTATCCAAAATAAGAAGCTTACAACAAGAGACATGCCTCGTTTATATGATGTAATATTCCATATTTTAACGCCTTTAAAGCGCATATATAAAATAAGGATGCATTATATATGCATGTAAAAGCATATCATCATTGGTTCATCCATGTATTGTACGGTGTGTGTGTTTGAATGAAGATAGATGATGATGAAGATGTGTGTGTTGATGATGATAATGGACTAACTCTCATGAATTCATTTCATTTAATGCTTGCATTGCATTTACGTTATCGAAGAGCGTGCTTTCTCTTCGACAGTGAAATTCCTTCTGCTCTCTCTCTCTCTCTCTCTCTCTCTCTCTCTCTCTCTCTCTCTCTCTCTCTCTCTCTCTCTCTCTCTCTCTCTCCGATCATTAATTTTATGGAATGTTTTTTTTTTAATCTTTTTGAACATTGGAATGTTATTGTACGCATAAAATACAAAATGTATATATTAATTTATATCTAACGTTTAGAAAGAAAAAAAATTAGGCTGTAATAAATAACATAAAACTTTGAATATAAAGCAAAAATTATAAATTGGTACAAAACATTTAAAATGCGTGATAAGCAAGCCATGAATTACTGAAAATCAATACATATTGGTACGGGTAACACAAAAAAAAAATGTCTAACTATGTGGTGGTACGTCGAAGTAATTAAAAAATTCAATAAATGCACTATATATATAAACAGTGTAACGTAAGGTGTAAATAGCGAATAACATATGACAGACTGAATATAAAGCTCGGATCGTATAGGGGACCATGCATGTTCCAAACCCTATATTTTCTTCCCATTAATTTATGGCAAATCAAAATTACTATTATTGTTTAAATAAAATTAATTATAAATGTTTTTTTTCATGAAATTAGGGCAAAAGTACAAACGAAAACTAATGATGCCCTAATGAAAATGAAATCTCTGCAATAAAGAAGAGTGGCTTTTAGGGGCCACGTAGACATTAGTTACAAAAGCTCTCTGAGTCTTTTAGCCTTCCTGCCTCTTCAACAGTACTTTACGACCATGAAAAAGATCGTGAGGCGTAATTTAAGATCCCCTGTTTCTCACTGCATGCTCGTTACCGTACGCACTCATAGGAGTTAAGAAATCAAAGGGTCTACATTCTATAGAGAGTATACTAAGACCATATGTTCATGTATAGTTGCTTGTGTTTCTATATACAACTATACACTGCATATGGTAACGAGCATTGTTTTCACAATCCATATAAAGTTAGTATTGTAACGTTCGTGTAGTGTCCGGTTTATTAAAAATGGGGTGAAATTTGAATAGAAAAATATATTCAGACCGGTTATGCCAAGCTCTTTTTTAGTTTTTTTCTATATTCGATAGAACAGAAAGATAGATAACATTCTTTATTGACTTAAATTAAATAAAATAAGTATATATTTTCAAAAGCTTCTTTAGTTATATATATCAAAACCACCAAAAATTCAATACAATCTTAACGATAAAAAAAAGATATTGTACCAACAAGCTCAGAACCGTAAAACTCGTTTAACTGATTGAAAAAAATATGATCGTAAGTTAGAAAAATCATTATAATTATATACATTAATCAGGAGGTAAATATGTTTTCCTATGATGACGTATTCTTTGTTAATTGAATTGAATATAGAAATTCAAAACTTTACCTGATTGGCTAAAAACTAAAACTTCATTAGTCTCCAAATTAGAAATCTAACTATTCAATCAAAAAGAAAAAAAAAGAGAGTCGAATTTCAGATAAAACCGGCTTAATATGTGGACGATCAACTGATTTGATTATAGCTAGGGCAAAAAGATTCCAAGACTTCAATCAATAATTTGCTAAATAGTTACAAGAACTGGTTTGTAAAAAGTTTGTTTGTTCATTATATTTATTTGCACGTTGTGTATTATTGCTCATGAATCCGAGAAATCATGGGAGTCTATAAACAACTATATAGACTCTGTGATAACCTAGCAACATTGATGATTGGATTTCTAAATTTTCATTTTTATTTGGACCAAATTCTCTACTCGACCGTATCTTTAGACTTTAGACCCGTTTCCCATAAAACTTTTAGCTCATATACATGAAGTTGAATAATTCGTCAAAATTTTTATTAATCAAACAATATCTATACATATCGTTTTATAAATGGTTATTACGTAGAACAACAAGATTGTACGAGAGTTGGGTATGGTTCCTTTTCAATTTAAAATGTCATATTCATAACCAACAACCTATAAAAAAACAAATCCCTTCAAACTTTTATAACTAGCTAAAAAGATAAATAAATGACATTTTCTGTAAAGATCCAGCATTCCACAACATTCTCTTCCACCATTTAACTAAAGAATACTCAACATTTTCATAACTACATCAGTCACACTTGTTCTACACAATGTATTAGATATATATATATATATATATTTAATTTTTTGGGGTCAAGAATCAAAACTATGTACATAATCATAGTATATACTTCCTCAGTTTTTTTAGTTTGATGTTTTACATCTTCACACATATTAAAACACATTTTAATAATTGTTTTTTATTTTACCTTTTTAGCTACTTTTTATTTTTTAATAATATATTAATACTACTTCTTTCTTCTTGGTTAACAATTTTTTGAAAAACTAAATACAATTATTTAAAATCTAAAACATCAATCTTTTTAAAACAAAGAAAAAACTAAAACATGGAGTATAATTTATTGTCTATTGATATCTTAGACCTGTTTTGAAATTGTACAAAAAAACAAAACTACTTCTCATAACGGGATTTTGTTAATTGACTTCACAATGGTTGTCATTATAACGTACATCCAATTATTACATTGAATGCAACACTGATATTTTGTGGTGTTGCGTTAAAAATTAAAGGATGTTGAAGTTAAAGATAATCATTTTGTAAGTGTTAATATTTGTTGTGATTATGTTTTTTTGCTAAAGTTTTTACGATGACAAACGATGATCATTGTTATATTTGATTCATACATCTTTTTAAACCAAAGATCTGGAATTAAACCCCCAAGAAAAAATCTTCTCAAACGTAATCGTAAAAAGATTAACGCTCGAAAATTTATTGTTATTTTCAAATAATTAATTAAAAATTCTCTGGACGTCCCCATGGAAAATAGTACCTATGAATCTATGATACATGCAATGAAGGACAATTGTAAATTTTGTGAGACACGATCAAACGTAAACAGTAGAGGAAGAAAAATAAAGAACCGCCTTAACGAATTATCAAACAGTATTCACTTTTATCATTCATTCTCTTTAGAATAAAAATATTATTTCGATCCTACGATAAATTGTCTTTATTTATCATTTTATTTGTGTGTATGGGTAAATATCTTGCATACGTAGACAGATATACATAACAATTAAAGCTGGTGGAGTAATAATTAGAAGAGACAGAGAAATTGAAAAAAAGGAGTTTGTTTTTCGTCTAAGTAAATACCGATGATGCCCTCACCTTTCTAATTCCCTTATTTGTCCCTTCCCTTTTTCATGTTTATTTCTAACTTCTCTGTCTCTTTCAATCCTTCTCCACCAGATATCATCTGATTCGATCCCCACAACATTATTTTTTTATCAATAAATATTATTGTCACTAAATCAATAAAATTCCCCAAGAGTAAATAGTTCAGTTTTCTTTTTGTTTTTATAAAGAACATAATTAAAAGTTACAGAATTATAAACGATTATGTTAAGAATATGATCATCATTTAGTATATCACTTAACCTAAGCTGAAAATTTCTTATTTACGATATGCTTGTAATTAAATGAATTATTTTTGTTATTAAAAGAAGGATTTTCATTTCTCCTTTTCAACAAGTTTTTTTTTTTGAAAAAAAAAATATAAATCAATCAGAAATGTCTTCCTAACTATATATAACATTATATTCAAATATTAATTCAAATTAACATTTTGTGTCATCTCTCTCACTTGTGAATCCCAAATTTTTTTCTAGGTGATAAGTTTATCTAGTTTACTTGGTGATATATAAAGCTCACACATACAATCTCACTTGTGTATCACAATATTAAATACGTTTTGTATGTGTGAGATCAAATCTACATGCATAAAATAATAATAACTGATATTTTTCAGAATATTGCAAAACTTTCTATTGGGTCCCCATCTGTGTATATATAACTCAACACTTTACACACACTCTCTATATCTCCCACACACAAAACCTAAAATCTCTGTTGCTTAAGTTATTTTCTTGGTAAAATAAAACTTCTCTCTCTCTCTCTCTCAAGATCATTGTCTTCTTCCTCCGATCTTTCTTCGTCTTGATCTTGAAATGGAGCCACCGCAACATCATCATCATCACCAAGCCGACCAAGAAAGCGGCAACAACAACAAGTCCGGCTCTGGTGGTTACACGTGTCGTCAAACGAGCACGAGATGGACACCAACGACGGAGCAAATCAGAATCCTGAAAGAACTTTACTACAATAACGGAGTCCGGTCACCAACAGCCGATCAGATCCAGAAGATCTCTGCAATGCTGCGACAGCACGGAAAGATCGAGGGCAAAAACGTATTTTACTGGTTTCAGAACCATAAGGCTCGTGAGCGTCAGAAGAAGAGATTCAACGGCACAAACACGAGCACCACACCAACGACTTCATCGCCCAACTCGGTTATGATGACTAGTGATCATTACCATCATCATCCTCTTCTTCATCCCCATCATCATCATCACGGTGTTACCATGCAGAGACCTGCTCCGGTTAACGTTAAACTTGACCAAGAAAATCATCAGCTTCATCAGAACAGACCATATCCGAGCTTCAACAACGGTGACTAATTTCTCACATATGTGTTTTCTTACGTTTTTTTTTCTCGATGGTCTTTTTAAGTGTTTGAATCTACATCACTAGGATAACCATTTACACCACTGTCTATTACATAAATTACACCACTGTCTATTACATAAATTACACCACTGTCTATTACATAAATTAGCAAAAAGAAAATTAAAATTAAAACTAAGAAGATTTTGATAGATATATGTAGTTGTGATGACGTTTGAAAAACATTGAGAAGATTTTTTGAATATGTTACTTTTTATGAACTTATTAAGATGATTTTCTTTTTAAATGTTGTTTAATTTATATAACGCAACAACAACAAAACCCACGAAGATTTTCATATATATATTGATAGATATATATGTATATGTAGTGACGTATATGTGAAGTTATGGATCTTGATTCGGGCAAACCAAATTTGCATCTATATAGAACGGTTTCTTTGTTGTGTAATGAAAACTAGCCTCACGTGTTTCGATTTGTAACCAAATTAGAGATTTGGGTTTGTAGAAAAATGACTTATTTTATGCTGCTCTACCGTCATTTTCTTTATACAATATGCTCACTAATACGCATTTTATTGAAGGGAATTTAAATCATGCAAGCTCAGGTACTGAATGTGGTGCTGTTAATGCTTCTAATGGCTACATGAGTAGCCATCTCTACGGATCTATGGTACGTTTGAAACTATAAGTCATTTAATTCAAACAATATATCCTGAATATATAAAATTAAATTCGATTTTTGGATGAAGGAACAAGATTGTTCTATGAACTACAACAACAACGTAGGTGGAGGAGGATGGACAAACACGGATCATAATAATCATTACTCAACTCCAGCTTACAACTTCTTCGAGAGACCAAAGCCTCTGTTTGGACTAGAAGGTCATCAAGAAGAAGGGAAATATGGTGGAGATGCTTACCTGGAACATAGACGAACACTTCCTCTCTTCCCTATGCATGGTGAAGATCATTTCAGTGGCGGTGGTGGTGCCATCTGGAAGTATGGTCAATCGGACGATCGTGATCTTTGCGCTTCTCTGCTATGTCTTAACTCGTACGCCGGCGTCGCACCGGATTAAAATTATTACCCTCTCTCTCGATCGTATCTGTCGTCACAACTATGGTTCGCTAGTGATTAATGATGCAGTTATCATATAATATAGTAAGTGTACTTCGTACGTAGCTTAAGTGTAATTACTATCGTCTAGGGTTTAATTTTAATTGGCTTCCTTTTTCTCCTTTTTATAATGCATAAGATGTTGAAGTTTTATTACTATGAAGTTGGAGTCTATTTCAATGGAATTTACAAACACGAATTTCAAAAATCTAAAATAAATTAAAATCTTAATTATGCTTTTTTAAGTCATGTATTTTATTGAAGAAGATCATGCATGCATCATATGATCATTATTCGCTATAGGCAAATTAAATTAGAATCTTATAAAGCAATGCGATCATCATGGATTGCGTAATGATTACATGGGAAACAAATTACATAAACATGATTGTGTTCATTATTTTTCTTAGACTTTTAAATTTATATTATAAGTAAATATGGAGAAAAACAAAATATATAGAAAAGTTTGACAATTCTTTTTAGTTTGTTTAAATTCAAAAACCTAATTTCGACATTAAACAAATTTGCTATGCAAACCATCATTAAACTATGTTTTTCTTATTTTTTTGTTGTCCTTGTAAAAATGACAAGTTCATGATGATAATCAATGATCATTGGTTAGTCACCAAATTGTTTCACTAAATTCAAGTCATAGAGCTAATACAGTAGTGTTAAGTATACATGATTAGTTTCACTTTTCTGAGAGCACGTGAATGTAAATTCCGTAGTAGTAGTACCTATAACAGAGATTTTGCAAGTCCTCGAGCCGCGTGTGAAGTAAGATGACACGAGTAAGAAAAATGATTTTGGTTAGTTCCTTTTTGTCATAAATCTTGTTTTGAAAAAAAAAAATCTTGTTTAAGTAAGCTTTTAAAAGTTTCAAAGATACACAAATAATAATAATTACGTCTAACCTTTTTTTTTCTTTCTGCTGTCTGAGTTCTTATATTCGGAGTATACATTTTAACATAAAAAATATTTTATTATAGCATTATGTTTATAATATAAGGTCGGCTTTTATTATGAAATGTGCACCAAATACCAAGAATATACTGTAGTACTCGTATTAAAAAAAAAATAACAAGAATGTGGCAGTTAGGACATAGGTGCAGCCATTTTTTTTTGTAGTTTGAACCCTCTTCTCATCGTAAAGCACGCTAATTATTAATACATTGAAACTTTATTTAATATTCATTGATCTCTTTTTCTTTTGCTGGCCTGCCTCGTTATACACACAAGTTTAACCAAAAAGTAATACTACCAAAAGTTTATAACGATCAAATTAGCGTTATTATTCACAAAAGTGAAAACACACACGTACTGTATCTTTGTCTTAAATATACTAATATTTTATAATCTCTATTCATAGTTCTTCTATAACCAGTATCAAGCTTTAATTACTCTTTTGATTGTTTTTTACAAATACAGACTTTGGATTCAATCGGTTGAGAAACCGACTCTATAACTTACTAATTCATTATTTATCATGTGATCATTTTGTTGTTGTCTTTGTGTAAGCTTACGTGAGCAATCCCTTGCTCTTTTATGTATACCATAAAACAAACCCCTTAAGAAGAAAAAGGAGTCTACATCAATAAGATCTCAAATCGAATAGGCTTCTAAATTCTTCAAACATAATCTCAATTGCACACATCTATCATCTTGACCAAATTGCCATTTTTCTTTTCGAACTCGGAGAGAGAGAGAGAATGAATCAAGTTGATAGTACCAATTTTTTTGTATGTAAATAAATATTAAGTCCCATTCATATGGTCTAGACACTGACATATGTAGTTATGTGTGTCTAAGGAGTTACTTACTTGTGATGTATATATTCAAAATGAATATAGATATGAATTTTTCTGCGGATCCGAGAAGATCTTTAAATGCTTTTTGGGGATTCAAAGTACGTTATTTCTATAAAAAGCAAAGATGTGAGGCTTGTGTAGCATCATGGTCTGTGATTCCTTTTATGTGAAATTCTCCTAAAAGACTTGTTTGGATCAGTTTGGTCCATTTCCCATTTTTTCTGCTGGCTGAATTTTTATAATGCGCCGAAATCCACATTATATATATATCCGTTATGTGAAATAATTCGGTGAATATTGATACATTTTTAAATCAGTCAATATAAAATCTGTTTGCAAAATTTGCCATTTTGCTTTTATAGACGTTGCCAACTATAATCTCATTGAGATTCTGTTTGTTACGTGTTCGAAAGAAATTTCATTTTTCTCGGACGTTCTCAACAAAGCAATTTTGAAACAGGACAACAAATTATTATTTTGTATGAACATATAGCTGTAAGCCTGTAACCAGATTCTGTTAAACCAGAAAGAAAAGAAAATTATATTTATGTAGTCGAGAGAGAAAAACATTTTTTTCTTTTCTTTTTTTCACCGATTTTCCATAAACAATTTTGTGGCATTTGTGATTGAAATTTGGAGTAGGATTTTGTAGTTTTGGATAGAAATTGGATTTTAAAGAAGCAGAATCTGCCATATTAAAACGTGAGAGTTGAAACATTTTTGCGCTCTGTTCTTTCTACACATTTCGCTATAAAGAAATTAGTAATGTCATCTTAGTATTTTAGAGCGTATGTATAGTTTAATGAATCAATGTTAGATCACTGCAACATGCATTAGTAATTACTAATTATAACATGCAAGCTTTATTCATTCAAATCTTAAAACGAGATCGATTCACATAACATCATCATCACATTATAACTATATATAACTATATATTATATAACAATACAAGGTTCATATAACCAATGACCATGCAACATTTTTGACTGATCAATCTCCTCTAGGGGTTTGCTCTAAACCATCCCATGAACGGAGCAAAACTTCTCTTTAACTTCGTCTTTTTATCCGAAACTTTTCTTTCTAAAACCGTCTCTTTCTTCGTCCTCTCGTCCTCTTCGACCTCGACGCTTGACATCACACGTGTCAGCAAAGGCGAGCTCGCAAACGTCACGAGTCTCCTCTTCTCTAACTCCTCCGTCGTTACAACCTCTTTGGACGCCGTCGTTTGATGGTGTTCCACGAACTTGAGTTCCTCGATCTCCGGATTCTCTAGGCGTTTCGACCTCATTCTGTTGAGTCGTTGGATCTCTTTCCTCCCATGTTCGAGTTCCTGTGTTAGGGTTTTGATTCGGTCGGAGAGGTTGGTGTTTAGTTGTAGGGTTCTTGTAAGATTTTGTTTTGTCTCTTGGAGCTCAAGTGTTAGGGGTCGTACTCTCGCTTGAGGACTCCAAGTTGAATTTGTTTCCTTTGTCCGTATCTGAAACCGTCAGTTACATGTTGCAATGTAAAATATATAAAAAAAACTATTCGTTATTATACAATGGAAATTAGATTATTGTTGTGTTACATTGTTAGTATATATAACTCAACGATGGAGAACGATTTACAAAAGACAGGCAAAATATTAAAAAAACAGATACATAGTACATAACTACATAAGTTTTTATAATTATTTCAGGTAAAATGTCAGATATATTCTTGAAGCGACATTAATCTTTGTGGATAATAATAATATGAAAATTAATTACCTCTCTAAGCCTAGTTGCATAGATGTCTCCGGCTAAAATTTTCTCTCCGAACAAAGCCACCGCTTCTTTCACCGATCCAAACGGTGCTCTCGTGTCTATCACCGCACGACCGCCCAACACGCTTCTACAACAACCATTTTCTCCCTCCATAACTTTTCTGCTAATTCGGGGTTAGTGATACTGAAATTTATAAGTTAATTTGATTTGATTTGATTATATAGTAGTTTAGAGGACGTTAGATTCTTGGCGTTCACTACACTTGAATCTTGGTTAATGGAGATTGAAATGATTTGATTTGGTTCTCTCTAATATCCTTCGGTTAGCTTAAATGTGACAGTCTTGATAACAACGGGACACCTCTCCACTCTCTTATCCTTTTCCGTTATAACGGGCCTTTCCAGATTAATCTGGGCCTAATTTTGGGCCCATTAAGTGAAACAACGGAAAAATAAAGCTGGTCGGTATAAACAACTAGTCGGCGATCTCATAAATTATGTCGGAGTTCTCCGACTGAAGAAGGAGAGAAAACAAAAAAACAAAACAAAAATGAGAGGGAAAATTGCTTAGAGAATCATCGTTATCATCTTCCATAGTACTCCTCCTCGAAGTCGTCTTCGCTCTTTCCTCTCGAAAATCTCCAGAATTCTCTCTAATTAAGTAGCTTCGGTAAAACCCCTCGTGAATTCCACTTGTTTTTTTGACCTAGTCCGGCACTTGTGAGGAGCGTTAAGAGAATCGTCGCTTCGGAGATCGTCGGAGACGGCGGAGGAGCTCCGCCGTGTAAATTAGTTGTTCACCATGAGTCCAATTCAGAATTTCGAGCAACACTCCCGCCGTCTCATCGATCCTGACCTCCGTAAGCTTCTCTTGATTTTCACTCTCTCTCTCTCTCTCTATATATATATATCTAACAGAAACCAGTTGATTTTAGATTTTGAGAGATGATGATTCTCAAAACAATTTGCCTTCTTCATGATTCGAGTCAGTTCTTGTTTCAGTGTAAAAACTGCGAAAGCAAAACTCTAATTCTTTTTCTCTATGTGGATTTTTTTTTTTTTGGATTTGTGTAGCTATCCAGGCAAGGCTTGAGATGGTGGTGGAGGTCAGAGACAGTCTAGAGATAGCTCATACAGCTGAGTACTTGAATTTCTTGAAATGTTACTTCCCAGCATTCTCAATGATTCTTCTACAGAACACGAAACCGCAGTTCATTGATAATCCCGAGCACAAGTTGCGGAACATCGTCGTCGAGATACTTAATCGTCTTCCTCACAGCGAGGTTCTTCGTCCCTTTGTGCAGGACCTCTTGAAGGTCGCTATGCAGGTGCTCACGACGGATAACGAAGAGAACGGGCTGATCTGCATCCGGATAATCTTCGACCTTCTTAGGAACTTTAGGCCAACGCTAGAGAACGAGGTTCAGCCATTCCTAGACTTTGTATGCAAGATCTATCAGATTTTCAGATTCACTGTTAGCCATTTCTTCGACAATGTTAAGATGGAAGAGGTGAAGCCTGTGGAGACGTCTACGTCTTCTGATCATCAGTCCCTTACACCTATCACACCTGTCGGGAACGGGCAGCTTAACCCGAGTACTCGGTCGTTCAAGATAATCACGGAGAGCCCTCTTGTTGTCATGTTCCTTTTCCAGCTCTATAGTCGGCTCGTACAGACCAACATCCCTCATCTGCTTCCCTTAATGGTCGCTGCTATATCTGTCCCTGGACCTGAGAATGTCCCTTCGCATTTGAAGCCTCAGTTCATAGAGTTGAAGGGTGCACAGGTTAAGGTGAGACAAAATTGGTTCTCTGTCAGGAAGGAAATCAAAACGTTTCTGCGATGTGGAAATATGATTTATCTCGATGGCATGGTAGATTGACTTTTTTGTGTTTTTGGTTTATTTGCAGACGGTTTCTTTTTTGACATATTTGTTAAAAAGTTGCGCTGAATATATCCGGCCGCATGAAGAAAGTATATGTAAAAGCATTGTAAATTTGCTTGTGACCTGTTCAGACTCTGCATCTATCAGAAAGGTGGAATACCTTTTGTTCCTTTTCTTGTCTTTTTTGTTGTTATTTTGTTTTGTTACCATCAATGGATTGCAGTGACAATTTTTTTTTAAAAATAATTTTCATTACATGAAATGCAGGAACTCTTAGTTTCATTAAAGCATGTGCTTGGGACGGATTTCAAGAGAGGCTTATTTCCTCTTATTGACACTCTTTTAGATGAGAGGTATGAGGCATCCCTGGAATTCAAAAAGTTTCATATTTTTGAAGGAGCTGTTTTACTTAATACGAACACCTTTTGTTTGTCCATATAATCTATCAAGCTGAAGTATATCTATAAACAGATAATGATTTTTGAGGTAATCTTTTTTGTCTTCTTATTCTTCTGTTCTGTGCCAGGGTTCTAGTTGGAACAGGACGAGCTTGTTTTGAGTCTTTGAGGCCTTTGGCTTACAGCCTGCTCGCGGAGATCGTTCACCACGTTCGCGGAGACCTTTCTCTTTCTCAGGTTTTTTACTGATAAAGAGCTTTAACTTGTGTTTAACGTTGGTCTTGACAGCCTGGATTCCATTATAAGTGAAACTACGTCGTTAAAATAAGCATTTACTGCTCTCTGTGTGGAAGGGAAACATTAGGAATGTAACAACATATTGATCGTCAATATTTCTTTCCACTATCAGGCTTTCCTTTTGCAACATCTTTTTGTTTTGTCGTGCTTAGTGAGTGTGCTTTCCTTTAAATTCCTCTGAATTGACTACAAACAACGTCGCAGTTATCGCGGATTATCTACCTATTTTCAAGAAACATGCATGACTCTACCCTCTCTCTTAGTATCCATACAACATGTGCTCGGCTGATGCTAAATCTGGTAAGTCTAAACCCAATATTTATCCACCATGCTTGTCTTGTTTATATACGTTTCTGAATTAAGCTTCAGTTAATACTCAATACTTATGTTGGATTCAGGTAGAACCAATATTTGAGAAAGGTGTTGATCAGCAGTCAATGGATGAAGCACGGGTTTTACTGGTAAAATAATCATCGGAAAGCACATTTTAGAATTGGTTGGTTTTCCTATCCATTAACTCATGCCACACCCGTATATAGGGACGTATCCTCGATGCCTTTGTTGGGAAATTCAGTACTTTCAAGCGAACTATTCCTCAGGTAATCCTGGTTGCTGTTTAAAATATGATGTTGTGCTCAAGAGTTCTGCTTTTTTGGATCGGTTTTCCAGTGTATATTGATTATTTATTGTGACGTAAGTTTCAAAACCAAGGTAGGCTGCTTGTGTTTTGGTCTTTTTCCTTCTAGTGTTTGAGATTGGGAAAGATATGGAATTGTTATCTCTTTGAATTCATATAGATCTTTCTGAAAAAATGTAAAAAGTATCTGGGTTCATATGCCATTTTTGATATTTTTATGTTACGATTAAATGAGATCTCTTGAGGTTAATAACGAGCTATGTTGAACCTTTAGCTAATTCTGTACTCAACTCCAAATATTTATTGAATATTTTACTTATTCTTGCGTTATGATACATAGCTTTTGGAGGAGGGTGAGGTGGGAAAGGATCGGGTCACGTTGAGGGCAAAGCTTGAACTTCCTGTCCAGGTAATTCGTGTCTGTTTATATTCAATGATGACTGTTTTATTATAGTGAGTAAACTCGCGTGTTTATATTCATATCCAATTGCTAATTTTAATGTTCTCTTATTTTCTTATATGAATAGTGCACTTTCTGTTTTCAAGTTAGATTATAGGAACTATTATAATTTCAAGTTGGAATTTTGGACGTCTTACCAGGCTTTTTGTCTGTTTAACAAAGCTTTATGCATTCTTATTGATAACTTTGTATGTTTTGTTTGGATCAACAGTTGGATTATTAATTGCTAGTCCATTGGTTGCAGGCAGTTTTGAATGTGCAGGTTCCTGTCGAACATTCAAAAGAAGTGAATGATTGTAAGAATTTGATCAAGACACTGGTCATGGGTACTGAATCTTGGCAGAATGATTTTTTTACGTTGATTATAATTCTATACTCAAAAGATCAATATGTTTTTTTTCCCTGATTTGTTTTCAGGAATGAAAACAATAATATGGAGTATAACCCATGCCCATTTACCTCGACCTCAGGTTTGTGTTCAATTGTCTCAAACATCAGTGTTATATTGTTCTGTTATGCAAGCATATTAATTGTGAAGGTTTCTCCTGCTGCCCAGGGGATGAACCCTCAAGCTCTGGCTTCACAATCATCTGCTCCTCAGGGTTTTAAAGGAATGAGAGAAGATGAGGTATTGTTTGTGAGATTGTTTGTTCTAGTCATTAATAGTTCATTGCTGATAAACCTCTTGTAATCTCTATCTTTACGCAGGTGTGGAAAGCCTCTGGTGTTTTAAGGAGTGGTGTTCACTGCTTAGCTCTCTTCAAAGAAAAGGATGAGGAGAAGGAAATGCTTAGTCTTTTCTCCCAGATTCTTGCTATTATGGAACCTCGAGATCTAATGGACATGTTCTCTTTATGCATGCCAGAGCTTTTTGAGTGCATGATTAACAATAATCAACTGGTTCAGATATTTGCAGCACTTCTGCTAGCTCCCAAAGTCTACAAGCCATTTGCAGATGTTTTGATTAATTTACTAGTAAGCAGCAAACTTGATGTTCTGAAGAATCCAGATTCAGATGCAACTAAATTAGTTTTGCATCTGTTTAGATGCATCTTTGGGGCTGTTACGAAAACACCATCGGATTTTGAAAGAATATTACAGCACCACGTGCCTGTTATTATGGAAGTCTGCATGAAGAATGCTACCGAAGTTGAAAAACCTCTTGGTTATATGCAATTGCTCCGCACTGTGTTCAGAGGTCTCGCTGGGTGTAAATATGAGCTGCTTCTGAGAGATTTGATTCCAATGCTGCTACCTTGTCTTAATATTCTTCTGACAATGCTCGAAGGTCCAGCTGGGGAGGACATGAAAGATCTTTTGTTAGAGCTTTGTTTGACGCTTCCTGCACGCTTGAGCTCCTTATTGCCATACCTTCCCCGTCTCATGAAGCCTCTTGTGTTCACTTTGAGGGGAAGCGATGAACTTGTGAGCTTGGGGTTACGCACCCTTGAATTCTGGGTGGATAGTCTGAATCCTGATTTTCTGGAACCTAGCATGGCGAATGTGATGTCTGAAGTGATCTTAGCATTATGGTCCCATTTGAGGCCTGTGCCATATCCTTGGGGTGGAAAAGCTTTACAAATCCTTGGAAAGTTGGGTGGTCGCAACCGAAGATTTTTGAAAGAGCCTCTTACACTTGAATGCAAAGATAATCCAGAGCATGGGCTCCGGTTAGTTCTTACATTTGAGCCATCCACGCCATTTCTGGTGCCGTTAGACAAATTCATTAATCTTGCTGTAACAGCGGTTATTCAGAGGAACAATGGCATGGACATCTACTACCGAAAGCAAGCTCTAAAATTCCTCCGTGTATGCTTATTGTCTCAGCTAAATTTGCCTGGATGTGTCACTGATGTGGGTCAAACGCCCAGGCAATTATCAACTTTGTTACGTTCCTCTGTTGATTCATCTTGGCACAGGAGTGAATCAGTGGAAATTAAGGTTAGTTTTAAGTATCATTGTTATAATCTTAATCTGTCATAGTTGGTGTCATATATCAAGTTTCTTACCGCATGCCCATGGCAGAATTTATCTTAGTGACAAATTATTTTAGTTGTCTACTGCTTGAATTCTAGCACATTCTAGGTGTGTCAACGCTATTTATTTATAATGAATTATCTGCAAGATCTTAATACTACTTGATGTTGGAGACAGCTAGTATTAGAGAAAGGTTTCTTGATTGATCCACTTTGACCTGTGGCAAAATTATAGTTCTGGAATACTCGTTCTTTTGCCATTTGGATCTTGTATTTTTGTCGTCTCCTCTAAATGACCTCTTTTATTTTCCTTACGATACCTATTTCGCTTGGCTTAATATGCTGAAGAACGATTCGTTTTATTAAGTGGGCTGTCTTCTTGCTGTCGCAGGCTGACCTAGGAGTAAAAACAAAGACCCAGTTAATGGCTGAGAAGTCAATCTTCAAGACACTGTTGATCACTATACTTGCTGCCAGTTCTGATTCGGATCTCAGTGACTCGGATGATGACTTTGTTGTTAACATTTGCCGCCATTTTGCTATTGTTCTGCATATTGACTATACCTCCTCAAATGCATCAGCTAGCACCAGTTCACTTGGGGGTTCTGTGATTTCGGCGAGTTCCAGGTCCAAGGGTAATCGATCGTCTAACTTAAAGCAGTTAGATCCTTTGATATTTTTAGATGCGCTGGTCGATGTGCTTGCAGATGAAAACAGGCTCCACGCCAAAGCTGCTCTGAATGCGTTAAATGTGTTTGCTGAAACACTTTTGTTCCTTGCTCGTGTCAAACATGCTGATGTGCTGATGGCTAGGGGTGGTCACAATGCTTCCATGATTGTCTCGAGCCCTTCAACAAATCCTGTATATTCACCCCATCCAAGTGTGCGAATTCCAGTGTTTGAACAACTTTTGCCCCGGCTTTTGCATGGCTGTTATGGGAGCACATGGCAAGCGCAGATGGGAGGGGTTATGGGGTTAGGTGCATTGGTGGGAAAAGTGAATGTTGAAACATTATGTCATTTCCAAGTAAAGATTGTGCGTGGTCTGGTTTATGTTCTAAAGCGGCTTCCTGTTTATGCTAGCAAAGAGCAAGATGAGACGAGTCAGGTTCTTATGCAGATTCTACGAGTGGTTAATAATGTTGACGAAGCAAACAGTGAAGCACGTAGAAAAAGCTTTCAAGATGTTGTAGAATATCTTGCTACAGAGTTGTTCAATCCTAACGCATCCATCCCTGTGAGGAAAAATGTACAGAACTGCCTTGCACTTTTGGCTAGCCGAACTGGAAGTGAGGTAACTGAGTTGCTTGAGCCTTTGTACCAACTATTGCTGCAGCCACTTATAATGCGTCCACTACGATCAAAGACAGTTGATCAACAGGTGCCTCACACTGCTATATTTCTTTTGTGCATCCATCTCTTTTCGGCATTGTCTTTCTCTTGGTCTTTAATTTTTACCTTATTTAATTTACCGTACAGGTTGGAACAGTTGCAGCTTTAAATTTTTGCTTGGCACTGAGGCCCCCACTTCTAAAAGTGACTCCGGAGTTGGTTAATTTTCTGCAAGAAGCATTGCAAATAGCTGAGGCTGATGAAACTGCATGGGCTGTGAAATTGATGAATCCTAAAGTACTTACATCGTTGAACAGACTTCGAACAGCTTGTATCGAGCTTCTGTGCACAACTATGGCGTGGACTGATTTCCGAACGCAGACTCACAATGAACTACGAGCCAAAATAATTTCCATGTTTTTCAAGTCTCTAACATGTAGAGCACCAGAAATCGTGGCGGTCGCTAAGGAGGGTTTAAGACAGGTTCGTAGTTGTCTTTTATCTTAATCAGGATTCTTGCATGAACATTCAATAGATATTTTTTATTCTTACTAGCCCGGCTGATTTTCTTTCTGGGATAATTGATATGTGCAACCTGGTGGTATTTAGCTACCTGCATGCAATACTTTCCTCTTTGAATATGAAGAGCTTGCTCAGCAGAGTTACCATAGAAGTCTATTTCTTTATCTATCTTCGTAAACTTTTATAAAATTATTTACTTGTTTTGAAGCTCTATTTTCTGATTTAGGTTATTAATCAACAACGAATGCCCAAGGAACTTCTTCAGAGTAGCCTCAGGCCGATACTAGTGAATTTGGCACACACAAAGAATCTCAGTATGCCTTTACTGCAAGGTCTGGCACGCCTTCTTGAGCTTCTGTCAAATTGGTTTAATGTGACATTAGGAGGAAAGTTGCTGGAGCACCTCAAAAAATGGTTGGAGCCAGAGAAACTTGCCCAGTCTCAGAAATCATGGAAAGCTGGAGAAGAGCCCAAAATAGCAGCTGGTAATTTGGGTTTTGAAAATATATTTTATCGATTTTTGGTCATATGATTGTTCACTTGAACACAACTAACTGTTCTTTTGTTTCCATGGCAGCTATTATTGAGCTCTTCCACTTACTTCCACATGCTGCTTCAAAATTTCTAGATGAACTTGTAACCTTAACCATTGACTTAGAAGCAGCTCTTCCTCCTGGGCAAGTGTACAGTGAGATTAATAGCCCATACCGTCTACCGCTTACCAAGTTTTTGAATCGATATGCAAGCCTCGCTGTTGATTATTTTCTTTCTAGATTAAGTGAACCAAAATATTTCCGAAGGTAAGGACAATGTCTTATAATAAGTTTTCGTTCACTGCATTTTGTTAAAGGTTGAAGTACATGTGTCACAGATTTGCTAACGATACCTCTTTGTTTCTTAAAAAAAAACTCAGGTTTATGTATATAATCCGATCAGATGCGGGCCAACTATTAAGAGAAGAACTAGCAAAGTCTCCACAGAAGATACTTTCATATGCCTTTCCTGAAATTTTACCAAAACCTGATGCTACAATGAGCACGACAGCTTCAACTCCTCCAGCTACATCATGTGGAGATGAAAATCTTGTCTCTGTTAAATCGGAGAGTTCTAACACGGCATTAACAAAGGCTAATGAAGCATCGGATGCGTATTTTCAGGGGCTCTATCTCATTAAAACAATGGTGAAACTGATACCCAGCTGGCTGCAGAGTAACCGCAGTGTTTTTGATACCTTGGTTCTCATTTGGAAATCACCTTCAAGGATATCTCGTTTGCAGAATGAGCAAGAGCTGAACTTAGTTCAGGTAGATTCTTCTATCTGGACTGCTTAGATTTGCATAATCTTCCGTTCGAGTTATGCTAGGTATTAGAATAGTTGGAATTTGAAGTCGTTTGCATTCGTAATCTCACAGGTGAAAGAGAGCAAATGGCTTGTGAAGTGCTTCTTGAATTACCTACGGCATGAAAAATCTGAAGTGAATGTTCTCTTCGACATTCTCTCGATTTTCTTGTTCCATAGCCGCATTGACTACACCTTTTTGAAGGAATTCTACATTATTGAGGTACCTGAGATATAACAAATTAGCTACAATTTTCTCTCTCTTCACTTAGTTTACACTTTTAAGCTCTAGTATAATAACTGGGACCTATTATTCATCAGGTTGCTGAAGGTTATCAGCCCAACATGAAAAGAGCACTTCTCCTGCATTTTCTTGACCTTTTCCACTCCAAACAACTCGGCCATGATCATTTAGTTCAGGCAATGCAAATGCTTATTCTTCCAATGCTTTCTCATGCTTTCCAAAACGGCCAAACATGGGAGGTTATTGACCCTGATATTGTCAAAACCATTGTGGAGAGGCTTCTTGATCCACCCGAAGAGGTAGGTTTCTTTTTTCTCCTCAACTTAAATAACGAGAAAATAGTTGGGACGGTGGTCATTACGGTATAATTGTCATGCTGGTTGTTATTGTATCTGTAATCCGATTTTCCAAAAATTTTAAAATTTTATTATAGTTTTATTGTTAAATCTCCCCTTTGATTGTTGTAGGTTTCGGCTGAATATGATGAACCTTTAAGGATCGAACTTTTGCAATTAGCAACTTTGCTTCTAAAATATCTCCAGAGTGACTTGGTTCATCATAGAAAAGAGCTCATTAAGTTTGGATGGAATCATCTCAAACGGGAAGATAGTGCCAGTAAACAGTGGGCATTTGTTAATGTTTGCCACTTCTTGGATGCTTACCAGGCTCCTGAGAAAATAATTCTTCAGGTACCGTTTAAATTTGTTTTGCCATTATATGTCACTGATGCTTACTGATTTTTCTTGAATAATGACAAAAAAAGGAATCTCCTTGAACTTCCGATGTCAGCGAATTTCATATAAACCTCCTCTTTCCGTTGGTAGAACCCTGCATATTATGTCATAACCTTTGTATGTCTCAGACAGTCAGTTATTAGCTTAAGCGGAAGTAATTTACAAAGCGATTGTTGATAAACAAACTACACGAAAGCTAAATTTGAATGCATATTTGTCTTAACAATGTAATTTGCCAATTGGATGTAGGTTTTCGTTGCGCTTCTTAGGACATGCCAGCCGGAGAATAAGATGCTAGTTAAGCAAGCCCTGGATATTCTAATGCCGGCTTTACCTAAAAGGCTACCTCTTGGCGATTCACGCATGCCAATTTGGATAAGATACACCAAAAAAATATTGGTGGAGGAAGGTCATTCAATTCCAAATCTGATCCACATCTTCCTACTTGTTGTTCGGCATTCAGATCTCTTTTACAGCTGTAGAGCACAATTTGTCCCTCAGATGGTGAATTCATTAAGTCGTTTAGGTTTGCCATATAATACTACTGTTGAGAATAGGCGGCTGGCAATTGAACTTGCTGGATTGGTTGTCAGCTGGGAAAGGCAAAGACAGAATGAAATGAAAATGGCCACTGATACTGATGGAACCAGTCAGGCTCCTGATGAATTACATACTTCATCTGGTGCTGATCCTAAGCGTTCAACAGATGGATCTGCCACATCAGAAGATCCAAGTAAACGAGTTAAAATTGAACCTGGTCTCTCATCAATCTGTGTCATGTCACCTGGTGGTGGATCATCAATCCCCAACGTCGAGACTCCTGGATCTGCTACCCAGCCTGACGAGGAATTCAAGCCAAATGCTGCCATGGAAGAAATGATCATTAATTTTCTCATAAGAGTAAGGCTTTACGCGCATATCTTCCATTTAGCATATATTTACATTTATCAGCCTCCAGTTCTCTCAACCATGTCAGCTCATGTGTAAGAGCTTATGTGCATAACATAGCTCCTGCTAGAACAAGTTCATTTACATGAGTGCTAGTTTTGTTTCTCTATTTTTAAAATATTTCGCCTTCTTGAATAGGTAGCATTGGTAATTGAGCCTAAGGACAGGGAAACCAACACTATGTACAAACAAGCATTGGATTTGCTTTCACAAGCTTTGGAGGTTTGGCCAAATGCTAATGTCAAGTTCAACTATTTAGAAAAATTGCTGAGCAGCATGCCACCGTCTCAGTCAGATCCGGCAACAGCACTTGCTCAGGGATTGGATGTCATGAACAAAGTTCTGGAAAAGCAGCCACATCTTTTCATTAGGAACAACATCAGCCAGATTTCGCAGGTATGCTTGCTGCAGTGAGCTTTTATTCTAATATTTGAAATACAATAATGCTTTTTGCGTTCTGCTCTCAAGATTGACTGTTTGTTTCTTCACCAGATTCTTGAACCGTGTTTCAAACACAAGATGCTCGATGCTGGTAAATCGTTATGCTCCTTGTTGAAGATGGTCTTCACCGCGTTCCCTCTGGATGCAGCTAATACACCATCTGACATAAAGCTATTGTACCAGAAAGTCAATGAGCTGATAAACAAACATGTGACTGCTGTTACTGCTCCACAAGCTTCAGGAGATGATAACTCTTATGGTTCAGTTAGCTTTGTACTTCTTGTCATCAAAACCTTGGCCAGGGTACATAAAAACTTTGTTGATTCATATGTGGTGGTGCGTATCCTTCAACGCCTTGCGCGGGACCTGGGATCAGCTGTGGGTTCTCATCCTAGACAAGTACGTTATTCTTATTACTTAATAACTCTTTTTTGTGCCAAGAGATCAATAGTGCTTGCTTTCCGATTTATAGGAACTTTAAATGCCCTTGCACAAAAAAAGTAACTTTAGATGGAAAGTTTTCATGTAGCATTTGCCACATTAGTGACTATTCGAATCTCCTATGCATCTTTTTAGCTTTGCACCAATGACTTTTGTGAATGTCTGGTAAGTTCTTAGGATTTAGACCGGTTCCTCTCATTCTTCACCTTGCTTGTCCAACTCATTTGCTTTATATGTTATTTGCTGGCACCTAGCGATATCATATCTATCATGGCTTACTCTGGCCCTTTTTCTTTCCATTTCCAGGGTCAGCGAGCAGATTCAGATTCTGCAGTAACTTCTTCTCGTCAAAGTGCTGATGTTGGATCAGTCATATGTAATATAAAGTCGGTCATGGAACTTATTGATGAAACGGTCATGCTTATACCAGATTGCAAAAAATCTGTTACTCAAATACTGAACACCTTGCTTTCCGAAAAGGGTACTGATGCTAGTGTGCTTCTCTGCATACTTGACATGATAAAAAGGTGGGTTGAGGATGATTCCAGCAAAACAGGTGCATCTGGAATGTCTGGTTCTTTCCTTACCCAAAAGGATGTAGTTGCTTTTCTCAATAAGCTTTCGTGTATTGATAAGCAACACTTCGCATCTGATGCTTTGGAAGAGTGGGATCAGAAGTATCTGCAGCTGTTATATGGACTTTGTGCGGATTCAACAAAGTATGTTTTGTGCTTTATAATATTTGTTGTTTATTACTCACATAATTGCTTTTATGAGAGTAATAATACTATCTTCATCTAATTATTGAATAGGTACCCACTGGCCTTACGACAAGAGGTCTCTCTGAAAGTTGAAAGACATTTTATGCTTGGTTTACGGGCAAGGGATCCTGAGATGAGAAGGAAGTTCTTCTTGTTATATCACGAGTCTCTTGGAAAAAATTTGTTTGCACGGTTGCAGTACATTGTTCAAATCCAGGATTGGGAAGCTTTAAGTGATGTTTTTTGGCTCAAACAAGGTCTTGATCTCCTTTTAGCTATCTTAGTCGAGGATAAGCCAATTAGTCTGGCGCCAAATTCTGCCAGGGTACCACCACTTTTACCTTCTGATAATCCTGGAATACAACACCAGCCTCTTGCTACCTTAGAGGGTCCTGAAGAAGTTGCTTCAATGTTTGACAACATTGTTATGAAGCATGCACAATTTCTGAGCGCGACAAGCAAACTTCAGGTGATTACGAATCATTTGAAGCTTCATTTTTGTTATCACGATGCTTTCTCTTTGTGCTGCTTGATCTAAAATGTTTACTTAATTTACAATAATCCCCTTGGTGTATTTATCCACGTGATTAATTTGGGATAATTTAAAGAATACATTATTTTGTATCCCGAAGTTCTAAACTTTTTTGAATTTCCACTATAGGTGGCTGATGTTGTCATCCCTTTGAGGGAGCTGGCACACACGGATGCAAATGTCGCATATCATCTGTGGGTTTTGGTATTTCCAATTGTATGGGTAACCCTGCTCAAGGAAGAACAGGTTACTTTGGCTAAACCTATGATTTCTCTCCTGTCAAAGGACTACCATAAGAAGCAGCAAGGACACCGGCCAAATGTTGTGCAAGCACTCCTGGAAGGGCTTCAGTTGAGCCACCCGCAGCCTAGGATGCCTAGTGAGCTTATCAAATATATTGGAAAAACGTACAATGCATGGCATCTCGCGTTGGCGTTGCTAGAGAGCCATGTGATGTTGTTCATGACTGACTCAAAATGTGCCGAGTCTCTTGCTGAGCTTTATCGTTTGTTAAATGAAGAAGATATGAGATTTGGGTTGTGGAAGAAGCGGTCCATCACTGCTGAAACGAGATCTGGACTTTCATTAGTTCAGCATGGTTTTTGGCAGCGTGCTCAAAGCCTCTTTTATCAGGCAATGGTTAAGGCAACCCAAGGCACTTATAATAACACAGTCCCTAAGGCTGAAATGTGTCTGTGGGAGGAGCAGTGGCTTCACTGTGCCACTCAGCTTGGTCAATGGGATGCCCTGGTAGATTTTGGTAAAAGCATTGAGAACTATGAAATACTGCTTGATAGTCTTTGGAAACTACCAGATTGGGCATATTTGAAGGACCACGTGATACCAAAGGCACAAGTAGAAGAAACTCCAAAGCTTCGACTGGTTCAAGCTTATTTTGCCCTTCACGATAGAAATTCAAATGGCGTCGGAGATGCTGATAACATAGTTGGGAAAGGCGTTGATCTTGCCTTGGAACAGTGGTGGCAGTTGCCTGAAATGTCTGTTCATGCTAGAGTGCCTTTACTGCAGCAATTCCAACAGCTAGTTGAGGTTCAGGAGTCTGCTAGAATTTATGTTGACGTCGCAAATGGGAACAAAGTTGCAGGAAATGCAGCTGTCGGACTGGGAAATCGTTATGCAGATCTGAAAGATATTCTTGAGACTTGGAGGCTGAGGACTCCAAATGAATGGGACAATATGACAGTCTGGTATGATATGCTGCAGTGGAGGAATGAAATGTATAATGTTGTTATTGAGGCGTTTAAGGACTTTGCTACTTCAAATTCTCAACTCCATCACCTTGGGTTCCGTGACAAAGCATGGAACGTCAATAAGCTTGCCAGGATAGCACGGAAACAAGGGCTTTATGATGTTTGTGTACAGATACTTGAAAAAATGTATGGACACTCGACAATGGAAGTACAGGTACATTTCTCCAAGATCTCTAATCTTTCCAGAATTTGGGCAGGGTTGAATTAATAGCTGAATTCTATACAACTGCATATTTGGTTTTTATGTTTTCTGGTAACATATTTTGCCAAGTTTGTTTGATATCTTGTTTCATCTGTCTTGTTTGAGCTTAAAATGTTGTTATTAATGATGGTATCTTCCTCATCTTTGTGTTTTGGATGTGTGACTGCAGGAAGCCTTTGTTAAAATTAGAGAGCAGGCAAAAGCTTATCTGGAAATGAAGGGAGAGCGTGCTAGTGGTCTGAATCTGATCAATAGCACAAATTTGGAGTATTTTCCAGATAAGATCAAAGCAGAGATCTTTCGTCTGAAGGGGGATTTTCATTTGAAATTAAATGACACCGAAGGTGCTAATATCGCATATTCCAATGCAATCAGCCTGTTCAAGAATTTGCCCAAAGGATGGATAAGCTGGGGAAACTATTGTGACATGGTATTTGTTATGATTTTGTTGTGTTTGTTATATACTCTTAACATTCCTCGATGTTTCGTATGCCTTGTACTTATATGATACTCTCTTTCGTAGGCCTACCAAGAAACACAAGATGAAATCTGGCTTGAATATGCTGTCAGTTGCTTTCTTCAGGGTATAAGATTTGGAGTTTCCAATTCCAGAAGTCACATAGCTCGTGTTCTTTATCTTCTTAGCTTCGATACAGCGAATGAACCTGTTGGCAGGGTGTTTGATAAACACTTAGAACAAGTTCCTCATTGGGTGTGGCTTTCTTGGATCCCACAGCTGTTGCTTTCCCTACAAAGAACTGAAGCACCCCATTGCAAATTGGTGTTATTGAAAATTGCTTCAGTCTTCCCACAGGTAATTTAGCTTTTTTGCGTTTATGACTAAGTCGTGCATTTTGGTTATTTCAACCTGAGTATGTGGGAATATTCCGTTTCAGGCTCTCTATTACTGGTTGCGCACATACTTACTGGAGCGACGCGATGCGGTAAATAAGTCTGAACTTGGCAGATTGGTTTTGGCTCAAAGAATGCAGCAGCAAAATGCTTCTGGTGTAGCGGCTCACGGTGGAGGCAATTTACCATCGGAAACTCAAATCCATCAAGGCGCTCAAACTAGCGGAGCCAGTGGAACCCATGACAGTGGTAACCCACATGGGCAAGAAAGTGAACGCTCCACCGCAGAAAATAATGCCCATCCCGGGAATGATCAATCGATGCACCAAAGCAACTCTACTATTAATGAAAACAATGAAAACACAGCGAGGCGGAATGGTGCATCCTTGGCATTCTCTGCTGCGGGTGCTTTTGACGCTGCCAAGGATATCATGGAAGCTCTTAGGAGTAAACATAACAACTTAGCCAGTGAACTCGAGGTAATACTTTTTTATTTATTTTGAATTTATATCAGCTATGTTAAAATCAGATTCTTACTCAACTGTGTAGTTCCCTGCCTCTCTGGTTTGGATGATCTAAGCAAGTAATCTTTCCTTTTCAGGTTCTTCTCACGGAAATAGGTTCGAGATTTGTTACATTACCAGAAGAAAGATTGCTGGCTGTTGTGAATGCTCTGTTGCATCGCTGCTACAAGTATCCAACTGCCACCACTGCTGAGGTTCCCCAACCGCTCAAAAAGGAACTGTCGGGTGTCTGCAGAGCTTGTTTCTCGGCAGATGCTGTGACCAAACATGTCGAATTCGTGAAAGAGTACAAACAGGATTTTGAGCGTCACCTTGATCCAGAAAGTACAGCAACGTTCCCGGTCACGCTTGCTGAGCTGACAACACGACTGAAAAAATGGAAAAACATACTTCAGAGCAACGTTGAAGACAGGTTTCCGGCTGTGCTAAGATTGGAAGATGAAAGCAGGGTATTGCGTGACTTTAATGTTGTTGACGTGGAGATCCCAGGACAGTATTTTGCTGATCAGGTAGAATATTAAGTCTCATCTGTAACTGAAGTTATTTAGTCTTAATTTATCTGTTTGTGAAACTAAATCATGCTCTCAACTGTTCAGGAAGTAGCGCCTGATCATACAGTGAAGTTGGATAGGGTTGGAGCAGATGTACCTATTGTTCGAAGGCATGGAAGCAGCTTCAGGCGGCTGACTCTTATTGGCTCAGATGGCTCGCAAAAGCATTTTATAGTCCAGACATCACTGACGCCTAATGCCAGAAGTGATGAACGCATCTTGCAGCTTTTCCGTGTGATGAACCAAATGTTTGATAAGCATAAGGAATCAAGAAGGCGACACATTGGTATCCACACTCCAATCATCATTCCTGTCTGGTCTCAGGTTATTTTATATACTATAAATTCAGATTTGATGTTTTATAGAAGATGTTCAGGAATTATCTTCTGCCTCTCTCTTTATCTCTCAGCATGGTCTTTAAAAAAAAAAACCATATATGGTTTCAGGTCCGGATGGTTGAGGATGATCTCATGTACAACACCCTCTTAGAGGTGTATGAGAATCACTGTGCACGTAATGACCGAGAGGCAGATCTTCCGATAAACCACTTCAAGGAGCAACTCAATCAAGCTATATCAGGGCAAGTCACAGCAGAGGCAATAGGAGATCTTCGTCTGCAGGCTTACAGCGACATCACAAAGACCTTGGTCAACGACAGTATATTCTCTCAGTACATGTACAAAACGTTGATGAGCGGAAGCCATATGTGGGCTTTCAAGAAGCAGTTCGCAGTCCAGCTAGCTGTCTCCAGCTTCATGTCCTTCATGCTACAAATCGGCGGGAGGTCCCCGAACAAGGTCTTGTTCGCGAAAAACACCGGGAAAATGTTCCAGACTGATTTTCACCCTGCCTATGACGCCAACGGGATGATCGAGTTCAACGAACCCGTACCTTTCCGCCTCACAAGGAACATGCAAGCTTTCTTCTCTCAGTTTGGAGTCGAAGGTCTTCTCATGTCATCCATGTGCTCAGCAGCTCAAGCAGTCATCTCCTCCAAGGTAAATTGACGAATATATATATACACACACACAAGCTAATGGATGCAACAAGCCATGTATTGATCTCTGTTCTGACAAATTTTACAGCAAAACGATCATCTTCGGTATCAACTGGCTATGTTCTTCCGTGATGAACTGCTGTCTTGGTTCGGAAGAAGACCTCTTGGTGTGCCGATTCCGCCTGTTGGAGGAATCGCTACGTTGAACTCAGCCGAGCTCAAGGACAAAGTTAACTCCAACGTGAAAGAGGTTATTGGTCGGATCAGAGGAATAGCCCCACAGTACTTTTCCGAAGAGGTACGTGCATCATCATACTATCATCACCATCATCATCATTTTTATTATATAAGATGAAACATGTTGATGGGTTTGTTGTTTTGTAGGACGAGAACATCGTGGAGCCGCCACAGTCGGTGCAAAGAGGAGTGAACGAGTTGGTGGAGGCAGCCTTGTCGCCTCGCAACTTGTGTATGATGGACCCAACATGGCATCCTTGGTTCTAACTTCCATTATTAGTTTATAGATTATTTGTGTTTGTAAATATTTTAACTCTGTAATGTATTTATCACTCCTTTGGTTAATGACGATGTTTAGTGACATTTTCTGTACTAATATAAAATGTACTTTTGCCAAGTTTTCTTTTTTCAACTGTTCTCCAAAAATGTCGTGAGAGTTGTAAAGAAGATTATAAGCAACGATCAAGAACAATATTTCATTTATCAAATCATTGGATGCATTTTTAGTTTTAAATCATATTTGCAATGTCTTAATACCAATTGGTGCTTATATCAAAAAGTTTTGTTCTCTTTTAAATGTTTTGGGTGAAAAATTGTATAGATTATTAGAAAATTCAACTAATGAGACCCAATACAATGATTAGCTTCTGAAAAATTCACAGAATCAAACCATCAAGTGGTCAAAATGCAATGGTTATCTTTGAGATTGCAAACATTTTGAAATCCAAATCCAAGTTTAATTTTACTAACATTTGTGGTGATGGGTAACATGTTCTTTACAGATCGAAGATTTGACCTTTAAAGTTTGGTCACTGGGACGCTAAGCAAAGTCGATTTAGACGAGGGCATACATGATGCTGATTGTAGGTTGTGATTGTGAGCTTCTGATTGTAGAGTTTTTGACTTTAAAAACGGTGACTATTACTTTAAACATTTTCTAATGTGTGATTGGTAACAAAACCTGTATAAGCTGTGACTGTAAGATTTTTTCTCTTTCTAAAAATAAATTTTTATAATATATTCATATAGATGAAAGAAATTATAACAGTTAAATTTAAATATATTTTTATATATATTTAAATTATTATGATTAAAATTATTTTGTAAAAGAAAAATATTTAATTATTGATATAAAAAATTAATATAATTAGATTGTTTAATAAAATTTAATCAATAATTTTTTTGATATTACGTTAAAAGAATAACTATGTAGCAAAGCACATGATGAGAGAAACATTATTGTATCTTTTGGATTTGCAAGTATTAAAAAGTCACTTTTTAATGTATTTATAATATTCTAGTTATTTTCTTAAAATAGTATCTAATTATTTTAATTTTAAGTTTTAAATGTTTCTTTTTTTATTTTTTGACTAAGAATTAAAATTAATTAACAATAATTAATAATTTAGTTTTGCAAAATTTTGGAGAATTAATTTATTATTATTAAAATAAAAAATTTGACTAAGTATAATTTATTTGTGGTATTTATTTATTTGTTTATTTTATATTATTGTTAAGTATAAATGATGAAATTGAAAAGAGAAGAGAGAAATATTGAAATTTTCTTTGGAACAAAAAGTGAGAAAGGAAGAGAGAAAAAGTAAAAAAAAAAATGTGGATTAGGTGGCTGTAAGAAAAATTAAAAAAGAATGAAGAAAATATTAAAAAGAATTTTAAAGACTGTGGAGAAAAAATAGAAAAGTAAAGTCGGTTTGGTTGAAAAATCACTGTAGAGACTGTAAAATCACATACACCCAGCCTTGACACCAATCGCAGCCTTGGTCCGTTCTCGAACAGCCGATATAAAAAAAGCCCAATAAGTGGCCCAAAAGCTCGCAATAATAATAATTCACCAAACCTAAGCCAACGCATCTTATCTCCTTTGCTTTTTTCTACTTTTTTTCCACCACCAAAGAGGGTCCGATTAGCCTCTCGAAATCTCAAGCCCAAATCTCTCTTCCTCGTCCGTTGCAGATCCGCTCGATCCAGGAGATTTCTCTTCCTCCCTTCTTTTTATCCTCGCAGGTATTTCTTCTATAATCCCTAACCCTCTTGATTTTTAATCTCGCCTTTGACCTGGATCTATTTTTAGGGCATCGTTTGTTCTTTAGGCTCGATCTTCTTTGAAATTAAATTCTGGGTTTTGGGCTTAATGGGTTATCGTCCATGTGATCCCCTCTGTTTATCTTTCTCCTCGAATCATCATTATTTACTCACAACTCTTTACTATATCTTAACCAGTTCTGGGTTTTGGGCTTAATGGGTATCATCAATTGTTATTATCACTGGTAATAATCCTCTGTATCACCAATTTTAAACTGTTATTATTACTTTCTCTGTAGCAAGAACAAGAACGATGGAGACAGCATTGGAGGTGTACAATGAGGTTGAGATGGGATCACCAGAGGCAGAGACACAACCACCGATCAAGCGACGCAAGAAGAAGTCAAAGGTGTGGGAGAACTTCACGATAAAGAACACAGAACCTGGTTGCAGAAGAGCTGTCTGCAACGGATGCAACCAGAGCTTCGCGTACAGCAGCGGGACCAAAGTAGCTGGCACTAGCCACCTCAAGCGTCACATTGACAAAGGCACTTGTCCTGCGCTCGTCCACGCACAGAGCAACGACCAAGAGATGACTCCTTACGCTCCCAAGAGCGAAAACACGACACCGAGAAGGCGTTACCGAACACAGAGCAGTAGCCGCACTTATGTCTCGTTTGATCAGGACAAGTGTCGCCATGAGATTGCCAAGATGATCATCATGCATGACTACCCTCTCCACATGGTTGAGCATCCAGGGTTCGTTTCCTTCGTGCAGAGTCTTCAGCCTGGCTTCGACACCGTGAGCTTCAACAATGTTCAAGGAGACTGTGTCGCCACTTACCTTGTTGAGAAGCAGAACGTTATCAAGTCTTTGGAATCCATTCCAGGACGCTTCTGTCTCACGCTTGACTTCTGGACCTCGAAGGTGACTCTTGGGTATGTGTTTATAACCTGTCACTACATTGACGGCGATTGGAAGATTCAGAGGAAGCTTCTCAATGTTTTGATGGAAGCATATCCGGAATCTGAAGAAGCTTTGCGTCTCGCTGTTTCTAACTGTGTATCCGAATGGGGTCTGGAGGGGAAGCTGTTCTCCGTCACCTTCAACCACCAGGCGAGTAAGGCGGCGGTTGAAAACATCAGGCCTCTGATCTGCATCAAGAACCCTGGGATTCTGGATGGCCAGCTTGTTATAGGGAGTTGCGTAGCCCGCACGTTTAGTGGGCTCGCTAAAGATGTGCTTGATAGTGGCAAAGACGTGATCAAGAAGATCCGCGACAGTGTGAAGCACGTGAAAACCTCAGAGTCACATGAGGAGAGGTTTGTTGAGCTCAAGGAACAGCTTCAGGTTCCGAGCGATAAGGTGCTCTCTCTTGATGACGAGACGCAATGGAACACGACGTACAAGATGCTCGTGGGTGCTTCTGAGCTAAAGGAAGTGTTCTCTTGCCTAGACACTGCTGACCCTGACTACAAGCAACCTCCTTCGGGAGATGAGTGGAGACTTGTGGAGACACTCTGCACATTCCTGAAGCCTCTTTTCGAAGCAGCCTCCACTCTTCAGTCTAGTGAAAACCCGTCCGCTGTTACGTTTTTCCATGAAGTGTGGAAGACGCAGTCAGATCTGTCTCGTGGGATAGCCGGAGAGGATCCTTACATCGCAGGTATTGCAAAGACCATGAAGGAGAAGGTTGACGAGTACTGGAGGAGCTGTAGCTTGGTTTTGGCGATGGCGGTGGTGATGGATCCTCGGTTCAAGATGAAGCTCGTGGAGTTCAGTTTCTCCAAGATATTCGGAGAAGACGCGGGGCAGAGGATCAAGACCGTGGACGATGGGATCCACGAGCTCTTCAGCGAGTACATGGCGCTCCCGTCGCCGCTAAAACCGACATCCGAAGGCGGGAAAGCAGACGGGCTGTCGGATTTCGACACGTACATAATGGAGACGACGGGGCAGGATCTGAAGTCGGAGCTGGACCAGTACCTCGACGAGACGCTGCTTCCCAGGGTTCAGGAGTTTGACGTTCTCGACTGGTGGAAACAGAACATGCTCAAGTACCCGACCTTGTCAAAGATGGCCAGAGACATCCTCTCGATCCCGGTCTCGGCTGCAGCCTTGGGCTACGTCTTTGACATGGAGCCGAGGGAGATGGATCAGTACAAGGCGTCGTCGCTGAGACCTGAGACTGTCGAGGCTCTGATTTGCGCGAGGGAGTGGCTTCTTGAGAGTGATGCTTCTTCTTCTTCTTCTTCTGCAGCTGCGCAAAATGTCAAAAACTGAAAACTGAAGCGTATGTGTGTGACTTTGCTTTCTTCTTCGTTATCTCTAATCGTTGTTCAGTTGATAATGACTTGTTGGTTCTTGTCAGCAGCTGAATCCTATTACTCGGTGGCTTCTCCTTGACGCGGTGTTGTGTCTTTCTGTTGTATATTTAGTTCCATATGATTCCTTGGTTTCGGACTTTGTGTGTTTTTATCTTGGATTATCCGTTGAAACTTACATTTCATTAATACTTATAAGTTTATTTTGACTGCTCAAAAGACAGAAATCGTTAATATTAATCAACAGGCTAAACTCTAACTTAAATCGTGAGTTGATGAAATCCGGCGAGAGAAATATTAATATCATAAATACCCTTGGTAATTAATTATCGTAATTAATTGATTACAACGGTAACTTTTAATTTCCGTTCTTTCCTTTTTTTTTCTTTTGCGATGTTTTTACTTTTATAAATTTAAAAAAAAAAAAAATTATCCAGAGTTTGTTGCGTATATTATTTGTTATATATATGAGATTTGTTGCAATTTGGTTTATCTTTTATCAAATCTCACACTTCTTCACCAAATTATTGCTATTCTCAGATTTTTTATCTGATTTAGAGTTTTATCGCTAAGTCTTTTCGAAGCAGAAACAAATTAGATTATTTTTATTTTTTATGATTTCTAACCCTCTTGATTTTTAATCTATTTTATTTAATTAATTTTATAATTTAAAAATATATCATATCGATCTAGATAATACTAATCTAGTTTTTAGATTTATTTATAACTTCCAAGAATCGTATGAAGCTAAGATTTCATATAGGCTTTTATAATAAAAGCGAGAATATGATATATTCTAAATTATAAAATAGATTTATATGAAATTTGTTGTGATTTAGGTTATCGTTTATCAAATCTTACATACTTCTTCACCAAATTGTTGCAATTCATTTTCACATTTGATCTAGGGTTTCATCGCTAAGCTTCTCGAAGCAAAAACTAATCAGAATAATTTTATTTTTTATAATTCCTAACCCTCTTAATTTTTAATCTATTATTTTAAAATATATCATATCGATCTAAATAATACTAATTTGATTCTTAGATTTATTTATAACCTCCAAAAATTGTATGAGGCGAAAATCTTATGCAGTTTTATAATAGATGCGAGAATAGTAAAGTTTATCATCTAACAGTTCAGTTTTAGTAGAGTTGATATAGTTAGTTTATCATTTTTTCTAAAGTTTTTATCAAAAATTATTTGTTGCTAAAATGAAAACATTCGTTGTTACATTTTTTTGTCTTTCTGTTGTATATTACTTATTTATGTTCCATATGTTTCCTTCTTTTGGGCTTTTTGGCTTCAAACTTCCAACTATCCATTGAAATTGATATTTCATTAATACTTATAACACGTTTATTATGTTTCTCTCCTATAAAAAAGGGAAATTGTTCATTTAATTTAAAATGTATGTACATTTTCATCCTCTAAGTTTAAGTTGACTACTCAAAATTAGGATTAAAAAAATTAACTACTAAAGACAAGACATAAATCATTAAATATTAATCAACATGCTAAACTCGGAAAATTCCCAATTAGGATTTCCAGTGAGAAGTCGAAATCCGGCGAGAGCAATTATAAATTTATAATGTATAGATTCATATCATAAATACCCTAAATAATTATCGTAATCCGTTCTTTCCTTTTTTGACGATGTTATTTATTCTCGTAAATTAAAAAAAGGAAATTATTTAGAGTCGGTTGCATATCTCCTATTTATTATATATATATGAGACTTGCTGTAGATTTAGAGTTTCTTTACCAATCTAAGCTTTTTGAAGCAGATAATCAATCAGAGAACCACCAATCATATTCCATTGCGATGGTGACACTAGAATAGTAATGTTATCATTGACTAGAATTATCTAACAGTTCAGTTTAAGTTTAGTTGATATAGTTAGTTTATCATTTCTTCTAAATTTTCCCTCAAAAAGTATTTGTTGCTAAAATGGAACATTCGTTGTTATGTTCTTTTATCTTTCTGTTGTATATTTACTTATTTAGGTTCCATATGATTCTTTCTTTTGGGCTGTTGGCTTAAGACTTTTATGTGTTTCTTTAACAGCATCTTCATCGCTGTTTCTTAGAAAGGTATTTAAGCAATAAATAAATTAAAAATATTAGAGAATAAGAGAGAGAGGAGAGAAAAGTTGACATAAGTTCCTTAGAGCAACCCAATGGTAACACCATTGAGAAATGTCTTAATAATTAATTTATAATATTTAGGTGTTTAAGATATTTTGCAAATTTTGGTTGTTTTTAATCCTACAATAGAGACACTTTGATGGGTATTTAAAAAAAAAAAATTAATAAATTTAAATTAAAACTTATGTTAACAACTTTTAAAACATAAAACATTTTCAAAATAAAATACATAGAAACATAGAAATTACATAATTGCAATAGAAAATCTGGAAAAACCGTTCAATTATAATATTCACTTCCACCAAACTTTTGCCATATATGTTCAACCAAATCAGCTTTCAATTGTTGATGTCTTGTTCTATCATGAAGTTGATTGCGAACGGCCATCATACTGCCGAGATTTGTAGGCATATCAGTAGAGTACGTCATATCCACTTCAGAAGTTCCTTCTCCGTGTTCGAAATCTGATACATCAGTTAGATTGTATCCATCTCGCTCGTCTTCTACTATCATATTATGCAATATGATACATGCTCTCATAATTTTTCCTATGCCGGAAAGATCCCAAAAAAGAGTTGGGTTTTTAACAATTTTAAACCGAGCTTGCAAGACTCCAAAAGCACGCTCGACATCTTTTCTGACAGATTCTTGATGTGTAGCAAATAACGAGTCTTTCAAACTCTGTGGAAGTAAAATAGATTGGATAAAAGTTGCCAATTTTGGATAAATACCATCTGTGAGATAGTACGCCAAATTATACTTGTGTCCGTTGACAAAGTAATTCACTTTTGGAGCATTTCCTTGTAATACATCATCAAAAACTGGTGAGCGATCAAGAACATTAATATTGTTTAAGGTACCTGGAGGTCCAAAAAACACGTGCCATATCCAGAGATCTTGTGAAGCTACAGCCTCTAAAACGATTGTTGGTTTTCCAGATGCACATGCATATTGCCCTTTCCAAGCGGTGGGGCAGTTCTTCCACTCCCAATGCATACAGTCGATGCTTCCTATCATTCCGGGAAATCCGCGTGTCTCTCCGATATACAGTAGTTGTTGAGGATCTTCTGTTGTGGGTCTTCGTAGGTACTCACCCTCGAACAAATATATTATTCCTTCGACGAAATTCTTTAAGCATGAAATCGTAGTACTTTCTCTAAAGCCGAGGTATTCGTCAACCGAATCAGCCGGACACCCATATGCCAGCATACGAATTGCTGCTGTACACTTCTGTAGTGCTGAAAAACCGAACCTTCCGGTAGCATCTTTTTTTGCTGAAAGAATGGAAGAGCATTCGAGAGTCCATCAACAATACGCATGAACAAGGGTTTGTTCATTCTGAAACGGCGTCGAAATAATTGACTCGGGTATTTCGCATCTTCGCTAAAATAATCGTTCTGTAACTTGATGTGGCCTTCTTCGCGATTCCTTTCAATGTAGGCTCTTTTTTTCTTTGATTTGGTTGGCTTTTGACGATCAACAAAGAGATTTTCGGCTAATTTATCGATAGCTTGATCATAATATTCCTCATATATTTGATCAAATTTTTCTTCGAATATTTGATCAAATTTTTCTTCAGTGTGATATAGACAGAGCACACTGATCAAACCCCATACATGAGCTCTAGTTGGCCTGAGCTTATAAGTTGCTTCACAATAAGCTTGATTTCATCACTTTGTTCTCTCCACCATCGCTGAAAAAACGCCTGCATTGCATTCATCACAAATTAACCGTCAAGATTGTGAACTTCTGATTGATCTCCCCTAAATCTTCTTTATTTAACTTCCACGAATCAATTAGGAAAAGAAAGAAACCAAATTTACCTGTTCACATAAATGAACTTGCGATTCTTATTAGCCAGCAACGCAGGAACAAGTGAATCCAGCACATTTTGAACACAAGCCACCTACGAGCAACAAAACATCGAATTCTGACGCCGTCTCCATTGGGCTAGCCACTGATTTCACTGAACCTACAAATCAAAAGACAGCTGTTCAATCCCTCCAACACTTAATTCCATGTTTCAATCAGGAAAAAAGGGAAAAGATAATTCGAACCTTGGAGCGAGTTTCTTTGGCGATTCTGCTGCTTGACGGAGAGAGAAAGAATCGCCGGCGAGACAACAGAGAGAGTTGTTCGAGGCGAGAAAGACATGAAATCAATTCCCGAGATGAGAGTTGTTGGTGAGAATCGGGATTTGCATATATGAGAAGACGATAACAGAAAAGAAGAAGAAAGAGTCGCCATTTTTGCGTCTGCTTCTCGATTCTCCTTCTTCGCTTGTTAATACACCTAGAAGCGGCGCCGAGAAGGCTCGATTTTCTGGAAATTTTTAACGCCTGTTGACCAAATCCAAAGATTGTGGATTGATCGCATGCAAAAGGGGAAGATGAAGACGAAGACGAAGAGAGACAGAAAAAAGATCTGTGATTTTTTTTTTTCATTTTTTTGTTTTAGGCATCCAATCATAGTAATACACGTCACCGTTTTTAAATCAGAAAAAATCTAATTTTGGATCTCGGTCTTAATATTAAGACACTAACTTTCTTTATTTTTAATCTTTAAAACATTTTTTAGATCTTTTGGTGTGTACATTAGGATTAGTCTTAAAGAAGAGTTTTAAAATACGATTCTATACACTTATCATTTTATTAATGACTCAATTATTATATTTAGAATTAAAATTTAACTATTTATTTAAATAATAATAATTTATGTTTAAGATATTTTTTGGATATATAGACTGCTGGAGATGGTCTAAGTTTATCTTGAACCTTGGTCATGCATGTACTTTAAATTATCGATTGAAACTAATATTTCATAAATACTTATAACAGGTTTTATTATGTTTCTCTCCTACAAAGAGGGGAAATTGTTTGAATTCAAAAAGTATGTACATTTTCATCCTCTAAGTTTAAGTTGACTGCTCAAAATTAGGATTAAAAAAATCAACTGCTAAAGAGAAGACAGAAATCATTAAATTTTAATCAACAGGCTAAATTTAGACAATTCTCAATTAAGATTTCCAGTGAGAAGTCAAAATCCGGCGAGAACAATTATAAATTTATCATGTATAAGTAATACCATAAATACCCTTGCTAATTATCGTAATTAATGGACTAGTGTTGTTAACAACCGCAATTTTTAATTTCCGTTCTTTCCTTTTTTTGGCAATGTTATTTACTCGTAAATTAGAAAAAAAAAGGAAATGAAGTATACAGAGTCGGTTGCGCGTATCTTATACTTAACGGTTATATATATGAGAATTGTAGCTATTTAGGTTAACTTTTATCAATCTCACACTCTTCTTCACCAAATTATTGCGATTCTCAGTCACACCTGATCTAGGGTTTCATCGATAAGCTTCTTGAAGCAGAAATAAACCAGAGAACCACTGATGGTGACGCTAGAGATAGAATTCAAAAGGTTTCTCGCGAAAGGTTCGTTCGGCTCCGTAAGCCTCTTCAAGTACTCGGAACCGCACCGGAAGCACTACACGGCGGTGAAGACTTCCGACTATAACAACGCCGTGAATCTCTACCAAGAGTTTCAGATCCTGTCCCAATTCAAGGGCTGTTCGAGAATCGTCCAATGCTACGAGAACAGGGTGATCGAGCAGCTTGACGGCGAGGGCGGCAAAGACTACATGATGCTTATGGAGTACGCATCTGAAGGAAGCTTGAGCAATTTCATGAACAGATTCAAAGACAGGATCTTGCCTGAGTCTTTGATCAAAGATTTCACTCGTATGCTTCTCGAAGGGTTAGCCACCGTTCACGAGCGCGGCTACGTCCACTGCGATCTCAAACCGGAGAACATCCTCGTTTTCCCGACCAGTGTCTGCAAGAAGAACGGCGAGTGGGAAACGACTTACCAACTAAAGATCTCTGATTTCGGGTTGTCGAAAAGAGACGGAGACAGTAGCTGGTGGGAGCCTCACCTTCCCTTCGCCGGAACACCGGTCTATATGTCTCCGGAATCGATCTCTCACGGCGAGACAGGGAAAGCCCTTGATCTGTGGTCGTTGGGTTGTGTGGTCTTGGAGATGTTCACGGGAAAGAGTCCATGGTGGCATACAAACTACGACGTGACCGATCTCGTGAACTGCTACGAGCCGTTGATTCCAAGCGACCTTCCTTGCGACGCAAAGCTATTCATTATGACTTGCTTTGCTTTGGAGACACGAGACAGAAAAGACGCCACAACACTGTTGCGGCATAGCTTCTTGCGTGGAGAAGATGAGTCTCCTCTGGCGAAGGATAAGAAGAGTTGGGACGAACTGGTGAAAATTGCACAGAGGTTCACAAAGGCTGTATCTGTCTCAGAGAGACCCCAAGAATCGAAGAAGATCGTCAAGGAGCAGCGAAGACCTAATTTGGTTCCTGTTTAGCACTGTCACTAAGACAGAACCTTCTCGTAACTTTTGGTATTTTTTTGTAATCGTAGTTCTTCTTCTTCTTTCTCAAATCTGATGTCACTTCTCTGTTTATTCTTTGTTCTATAGAGATTCTTTGTTCTGTAGAGATTCGTTGTTCTATAGAGAGTCTATTATGCAACTGGAGAATGATTATGTTAATGGGATTTAAACAACTGCTTCAATCAAAGAACAATTTTTCTTTTACCAAATCATTATTGTATACAAATTGTTAGTTTGAATTCAATCATACAGTATTTGCTCTGTCTCAATACCAACCAATTGGTGTTTGTATCAAAATGATTCAACTAATCATACCGAAAATTTTCAATACCAAACCGGTTGGAGCTAAACCGACGAGGCTCTGACCCTAAGTTTGAATTTGTGTTCTAGAGCTGCTCTCTCTCTCTCTCAGTCTCTCTCACTAGCGAAGGTTAATGGAAGCTGCAGCACTAATGGCGGATTTGCAGAGGTTTCTACGAGATCGCTGCTCAACCCTTCTCAATCTCCCAGAAAAAGGCCGCTCTCTTTTCACCGCCAGAGATTTTCGTCCAGGTTCGTCTCTCTCTTGCGGGGGTTTTAGGGTTTCGTATGAAGATTTGTTTGATAATCGCTTTTCTTCGTCGTTTTGGGGGGTTTTTTCAGGAGAAGTGATTGTAAGTCAAGAGCCGTATGTTTCTGTTCCGAACAATAACTCCTCAGAATCAAGGTGTGATGGATGTTTCACGCTCAATCACCTGAAGAAATGTTCTGCTTGTCAAGTGGTTTGGTACTGTGGGAGCTCGTGCCAGGTATAATAATGGAGTCCTTTTCTGGTGAAATTCGATTCATGATTGATTCGTAATTGTAACAGATTCTTCGTTTGTTTTGGTTCTTAATCAGAAATCAGAGTGGAAGCTGCATCGCCATGAATGCAAAGCTCTCTCTAGGCTTGACAAGTTGAAACGGAAGTTAGTCACTCCTACGATACGTCTTATGGTGAAACTCTACCTCAAGAGAAACTTACAAAGTGAAAAGGTTATCATCATCATCATCATCTGTTTCTCTCTCTCGCTTTAACGTGTTTGGTTCTTTGATTCACTGTGTTTGAAATGTGGAGAAGAAGTGTAGTATATAGTGTAAAAGATAGCAAGCTATATCTGGATTTTGTTTTGGCTGCGTCGTTTTCACATTAGTCTATGTATCCTAAACTCTTTGATTATCTGGTTCAGGTCATACCAATCACGACGACAGACAATTACAGTTTGGTGGAGGCTTTGGTGTCCCGTATCCTCTCTATTTGGGAGTTTAGTTCTTTGAAATTGCTTATTCGTTTTTGTCTTTCTTTAACCTTTGTTTGGTAGACATGTCTGAGCTTGATGAAAAGCAGCTGATGTTGTATGCACAGATGGCTAATCTTGTGAACTTGATCCTTCAGTTTTCAAGTATTGATCTCAAAGAGATTGCCGAAAACTTTTCAAAGGTTTGTTCACCAGCGCTTTTGTATCTTCTTCTGGTGTTGGCTTGACCACAAACTGAATTTTCTTGCTGCCTTCTACAGTTTTCCTTTTTTGTAGTAGGAAAATTTATCGTCCTGATTTACTATTACTATACAGATAAGCTGCTAATGATATGATTTTGCATCTGAGAACTCATTATATACTACTATCAAAGGTCACTTCGTTTTACTTGATGAGTATAAAGTATTTGTTGGGCTACACTGGGAGAGTCTTCTCCAGGAATGTATTTTAGCGATGATTATTGAAGCCACTTTCATTTCTACTGAATGCAGTTCTCATGCAATGCTCATAGCATTTGTGATAGCGAATTGAGACCTCAGGGGATAGGATTGTTTCCGTTGGTTTCCATCATTAATCACAGGTAATCGCTTCTTCAATATGTTTTTTTTTGTGGTCATTAATCAGTTTGTTTCCTTCCTAACTCTTTTCCTCTGTAGCTGCTCTCCCAATGCGATTTTAGTGTTCGAGGAACAGAAGGCTGTTGTTCGAGCTATGGAGAACATATCGAAGGATTCGGAGGTAACTTTCTGCTTTGTTCCATCTCAAGTCTTTCGTATTTGCTAGTAGCACACTGACATATAGCTGTTAGATCCTTTGTCTTTGATCAGGTAACTATCAGCTATATTGAAACAGCTGGAAGCACTATGACTCGGCAGAAGTCTCTGAAAGAACAATACCTCTTCCACTGTAAATGCGCCCGATGCAGCAACATTGTAAGTAGGCACTAGTTCGTCCACTTACCAAGTGATGGAGTTTGCAGTTGACCATTCAATATTCTAGATTTCTTACAACTTATACCAACATTTTTCATATGATAAAGGGAAAACCTCATGATATTGAAGAAAGTGCAATATTGGAAGGCTATCGGTGTGCCAATGAGACCTGCACTGGTTTCTTACTCCGTGATCCTGGTATGTATATACTTGACTACGTGGTCTATGTATCCAGTTCCAAGAACGTTATCGATCCCTACCATGATGCCATCTCCTTTTGTTTGGCTTTTGTAGATGAAAAAGGCTTTCTTTGCCAGAAATGCACCCGTCTTAGGAGCAAGGAAGAGGTTAGAAAGTTGGCGGGTGATGTGAAAACAGTTTCAGAGAAGGCTCCTGCATCTCCTTCCGTAGAAAGTATATGTTGCTTCCTCAATACCTGCATTTATATGTCCGAACAATCTTAAATGATATTGGTTACACTGAGCTGTGTTGCAAGTTATCTGAGAGAATCTTTCACCATTTTCAGATAGACAAGACGATATTGCACTATATAAGACAATAGAGAAACTACAGGATAAGCTTTACCATTCTTTCTCCATCACTTTAATGAGAACCCGTGAAAAACTTCTCAAGGTACGTTTCTTTTGGAAAGAAGGTTTTGGACTTTTGGAAGCTGTACAGAGTTTTGAAAAAATACAAATGTGGTGTCTTAAAGCTTGCTATTACGCATTCTTTTGCAGATGCTAATGGAAGTAGAAAGCTGGAGAGAAGCTTTGTATTACTGCAGACTAATAGTCCCTGTTTACCAAAGTATGTCTGCTACATCTTTGATTAGGAAGTTCGATCAATAGTTCTTCTTCTGTTGGACACCTTAAAAGGCAATAATCGGACTTCTAGCATATAGATTTAAGTGTGGATCTACATTTTGCACATAACTTCGAAGCTTTTAATAGAGTTTGGTCCATGCACATTTTCTTAGAATTACTGTACAAACTATACGCCAAGTTAATGTCTAGTGGCTACTAATTAATTACTTACAGCTATATATAATAGATAAATGTAAATTCATCTAAATGCTTACTTTGTTCATAAATTTGCAGGAGTGTATCCAGCAAGCCATCCCTTGATTGGACTGCAGTTGTATACCCAGGGAAAACTCGAATGGTATCAAAACTTCTTTTATCCTTTCTCTAGTTTACTGTATTAGATTTTGAGCTTTGAAAACGAACATAGAGTTTGAAGATGGACTGACTAGTGCTCTATATATCGACGTTTTAATGCTTCTGTCGAAATTCATAGGACCAAATCAGCGTTTTCTCTTAACACTATATGTCTTTTCAGCTGCTTTAGACTTTTATTCCACTGTGACTTTCATTCAGGATCCCTGGCTAATATGGGTTAAGTCTGAATGCAACATTCTATATTTAGCAAGAGATGTTGGCTTAGTGGTAGGAGGAACTTGGTCAAAGTGTTATAGTTTGATATCCCTGAGTTTGAATCCCCACGAATACGAACAATGATTCTTGTTGTGACTGTAGTAACTTACCAACTATGTCAGCTTTCTAAAATTTATCTGAGCTCGAGTGCAATAACTTGGCGACGGTTTCTATCATATTCTGTTGATGAAAAGCATAATTTGTTATGGTTGCAGGTTGCTAGGGGAAACCGAAGAGGCCGTGAGTTCACTGGTTAAGGCATTCCACATTCTGCGTGTGAGCCACGGAACAAGCACACCTTTCATGAAAGAGCTGTCCGCAAAGTTGGATGAAGCTCGTGCAGAAGCTTCTTATAAGCTGCGTGCATCGACATATGACAACTAACAAGTTCGTTCTTACTCTTTTCCTCATGAATCACTTCTTTTACTCTCTGCAAATCTTGAATTGTCTTTTGACTTTGTGACTAATATTTTATAAAAATGATTTATATCACTAGTATTCGAGTTTTACTAGTTTTTTTTTGTGTTGTTATTTAACCAAAGTTTCGATAACTTCATTTTAATGACATTAGTTTTATTTATATTATTATTTCTACAGTTTCCCCAAAAAGTATCTGTTGCTAAAATGAAAACATTCGTTCTTTTTCGTTGGAATTGTTTAATTTTTTAATTTAACAGAAAAATAAAAAACAAGTTTAATTTATTACATAAAAAGTCTTATTTCATAACCAACGCATACAGAGAAGAAACCTTCTGCCTTCTTTGCCTTCTCCACCTCCGTTTCTCTCTCTACAGTTTCCACAATTTTCTGTCTTGCAAAGCTGTTTCAATGGCGACCTCATTTTCTATTCATTAATGCCACAACCCTCGCCAGAGAAAACATCCTCCTCGCGTAGGATCGAGAAACCGAAACCACAGAATCATGGGTCTCTGTTTCTCCTCCGCCAAAGTCTCCGGCCGCCCCAACCGCAGCCCCCGGAATCCAATTCCACATCCTCCTCTCCCCGTGGCTAAACACAGACCGTCGCAAACGCCGTGTTCGTTCATGGCCGTTACGATCCAAAAAGACCACAGGACCCAAACGCGACGCCCCGCGAACGCGGCTAAGAAAACGCAAACGCGACAGACGCCACCGCACGGGAGAGCGAGAGAGAAGGCTGGCAACAACAATAATAATAATAACAACGGGAAGAGACAAGGAGAAGCGATCCCTTACGGTAAGCGCGTAGATTTTGGGTACGCTAAAGATTTCGATAACCGTTACATCATCGGAAAATTGCTCGGACATGGCCAATTCGGTTATACTTATGTCGCTACCGATAAAAAAACCGGAGATCGTGTCGCCGTCAAGAAAATCGACAAGGCTAAGGTAATCATCATTTTCATCATTATTGATCTAAGATTCTCTCTTTTTTCTTTTTAATCAGAGACTTTTGGCTTTTTTCTTGAATTTTTTTAATCATCATTATTGATTCAATCTTTGATCATTTTCATCATTATTGATCAAGATTGTTTCGTGATTCGGATTATTGTGTTGTTGAGCAGATGACAATTCCGATAGCTGTGGAAGATGTAAAGAGAGAGGTGAAGATACTTCAAGCTTTAACCGGTCATGAAAACGTGGTTCGGTTTTACAATGCCTTTGAGGACAAGAACTCTGTTTATATAGTCATGGAGTAAGTTAAAACCCTTTAGAATTTCTTGTGATGCAAGAAAGACACAAAAAAGAAGGACAACGATTGTTTTCTCTTTTGTTGCTAATTACTTTGTCTGTTCTTGTTCAGGTTATGCGAGGGTGGTGAATTGCTGGATCGGATATTAGCCAAGTAAGTACATTTTTGCGTGTATTTACTGAACTTTTAAAGACTAAATTAACTTATTTGTTTTTGCTTGTTTCCAGGAAAGATAGCCGTTATAGTGAAAGAGACGCGGCTGTGGTAGTGAGACAGATGCTGAAAGTTGCGGCTGAGTGTCACTTGCGCGGTTTGGTTCACCGCGATATGAAACCAGAGGTACTTAGTTTAATCTACTTCTTAATATGTGTAGTTGGTTTTTAACACAACTTTGGTTTCTTATACCAATCATTTTCTTCTCAAAACAGAACTTTCTGTTCAAATCAACTGAAGAAGATTCGGCTCTAAAAGCTACAGATTTCGGTTTATCAGACTTCATAAAACCAGGTTTTGGTTGCAAAAGTGATTCATATATCTCTCTCTTTTTTCCCAACTTCTTTGATCTAATTTGTTGTTTTATATGAACCAACCTGCAGGGAAGAAGTTTCATGATATCGTAGGGAGTGCGTATTACGTAGCACCTGAAGTGTTGAAACGTAGGTCGGGTCCTGAATCAGATGTGTGGAGTATCGGTGTGATCAGTTACATTCTTCTCTGCGGGAGACGACCTTTCTGGGATAAGACTGAAGATGGTATCTTCAAGGAGGTTTGTGTAGACTCCCTGAGGAAACAGAAGATGGATCTCATCAATCTTTTCTTATTTTTCTAATCATGGAGAAGTGTTTACACGTATATATAGGTCTTGAGGAACAAACCTGATTTCAGAAGAAAACCGTGGCCAAGCATTAGCAACAGCGCCAAAGATTTCGTTAAGAAGTTGTTGGTCAAAGACCCCAGAGCTAGATTAACAGCTGCTCAGGCTCTATGTAAGCGCATTTTTGATGTTTCATCATATTGTTCTTGTCTTGTAATCTTCTTCTGAGGTTAAGTTTGTGTTTTGGTTTGTTTGTTGTTTCAGCACATCCATGGGTTAGAGAAGGAGGAGATGCAACTGAGATTCCCATAGACATATCTGTTCTCAACAACATGCGTCAGTTTGTGAAATTCAGCCGCCTCAAGCAATTCGCCTTAAGGGTAATCAAGAAGAGAGATTCTTGTTTCATTTGTGGTTTTGATGTGTGTCTCTCTTTTTACCTGAGTTGTGTTTTTTTTTTGGTTTGAAGGCTCTTGCAACGACGCTTGATGAAGAAGAGTTGGCTGATCTTAGAGACCAGTTTGATGCGATTGATGTTGATAAGAATGGCGCCATTAGCCTTGAAGAGATGAGGCAGGTAAAAATTGAAAACAAATACTATTCTCAATCACTAGCAAAATGGGTTTTTACCAAATACTTTAGTACTTTACATTAAATTTTTGTTTCTATAGGCTCTTGCGAAAGATCATCCTTGGAAGCTTAAGGATGCACGAGTTGCAGAGATTCTTCAAGCGGTATGTATAATGTAAATCTAACAAGATGATGAGATTCTTGAACCTAAATTAGCTTAAGAGTTGTGTTAATTTGCCTCATGCAGATTGATAGCAACACAGATGGATTTGTAGATTTCGAAGAGTTTGTTGCTGCTGCGTTACACGTAAACCAATTAGAGGAGCATGATTCTGAGAAGTGGCAACAGAGATCAAGAGCAGCATTTGAGAAATTCGACATAGACGGAGATGGATTTATAACAGCAGAGGAGCTTCGAATGGTTATTACTATTATGCTTTCTTGTTTAAGTAATAATTAATGTCACACTATCTATATATTGAAGGTTTTTGATTATTATTGTTGTGTCTTTTTGCAGCATACTGGGTTAAAAGGCTCTATTGAGCCACTTCTTGAAGAAGCAGACATTGATAATGATGGTAAAATCAGTCTCCAAGAGTTTCGTAGACTTTTGAGAACTGCAAGTATCAAATCAAGAAATGTTAGAAACCCTCCTGGTTATCTTATTTCTCGGAAGGTCTAAATATTGGAGTGTCAAAACCAAGAAAGTTTTTGTAATTTTTTGGTATCCCTATTGTAGAAAAAAAGAAGAAAAAAAAAGAAGAAAATGTTTTCATGTGTTGTTGTAACATATGTTTTCATAAGATTTTATAACCAATGACAAAGAAATCGATATTCATACAGCCAAATTAGTGAAATGAGGTTATAAAATGCATTGCATTTAGCTCATAAGCAGACATATATAATAATAAATTCGCTACTATTGAATAGATATAAATGCATTGTATTTGGCTTTTTAAGAGAGCACTTTTTAGGTATTAGTAGTGTGAGTGAGACGGCACACGCAAAGGCCAAACCATGTTTGCATGCTTTTTTTGGTGTTTAGAACTTAGAATGATCGATTAGGTTCACGTGGACTATTAAAAGAGAAAGATATAACAACTCATTTCACATTAAATTGGTGAAATAAATCATAAATAAAATAATCGGGTTCATGTATCCAATTAGAGCCGTTTTCATTCAATGTTTCGATTTGAAAATCAGGATAATATTCATAAATCATAATGATCCCAAAGAAAAAAAGAAGAAGCAAATATCGATTTTAATGTCTTGATATTTGTTTACATTTGTATATTTTATAATCACAACTCATTTCAAATCAAATCGGTTAAAAAAATAATTTTTAAAAATATCAGGTTCATGTATCCAATTATAGAGCCATTTTCATTCAATGTTTCGGTTCGAAAATCAGGATAATATATTCATAATGATCCCAAAGAAAAAAAAGAAGAAGCAAATATGGATTTTAGAATGTCTTGATATTTGTTTACATTTGTATATTTTATAATCACAACTTTTTTGGATATTCGTTCTACGATGAGTCGTTTAGGGAGAACATGGATCGAAGATTATAAACTTTTTCATAAATTACAAAAAAACAAGAAAAAGAAGTGAAATACAAATATAATAAAACATTTGTAGATTAATACATTATAAATTTATAAACGTGATAAAATAATAGCTTGTCAGTTTAAAACTAATAAAAAAATGTTGATTAATTTTTAAAGTTTCAACATTATTAATTTATAAATATTTTACTATACTATAAAATTTTGTTAGATGAAACCGAAAAAGAAAATACATTTTGGATTACAGTTTTAACGTCACTGCATTTGCCAACTGCCTCTTATGTACAATAAATTTTCCAACTGGATAAGCTTTTCGTCTGACTCAGCTTCCAGGATCCGGAAAGACCCAATCTGACCCGGTTCACTTTTGCTTTAACCCGATAAGAATCTTAAATCGCACTTACGAATGTCTTAATTTTACAATTAAGTAATTTAACTAATCATTAAACGATTAATCAACGTCTTCGGCTACTATAAATAAACCTCTCTAGTTTCTTAACTTCCTCCGTCAATCACACTGCGCATCACACCAAATCGGAACTGAAACAATCCAAAACTCAAACGCCGTCGTTTCACGATGCTCTGTTCTTCCCCAACCTTCTTCGCTCCTCCATTTCTCTCCTCTTCTTCTTCTCCGCCGTTTTCCCCTGTATCACCACCGTCTCGCGCTTCCCGGATTTTTCCGTCTCTCTCTGCGACCACCGCGTCTTACACCTGCGCCGACGAACCACAGAGTTTGCACCAGATCCCGCAGCGATTCTCGGCCACCGCGTCTCTCTACGAGATCCTTGAAATTCCCGTCGGCTCGACGAGCCAGGAGATCAAATCGGCTTACCGGCGACTAGCCAGGATCTGCCATCCCGATGTAGCTGGAAACGGTCGGAATCACTCGTCGGCGGACGATTTTATGAAGATCCACGCGGCGTATTGCACGCTTTCGGATCCCGAGAAACGCGTCGTTTATGATCGGAGGATCCTTCGTCGAGGCCGGCCGTTAACCGTCGGTGTTTCTGGGTTCGGCAGTAACGGCAGCTACGGCGGACGGAATTGGGAAACCGATCAGTGCTGGTAGCGAGTTGACTCGGTGATTGAGTTGGAACGAACCAGTGCATTATTTTTTTTTTTACTGTAATTAGTACAAAACCCAGAGATTAGCCGATTGTAAATGATGTCTCTGGGTCATTAGCTTGACGTTGTATACAGTAATTATTTGCTTAACATGGCGATGATCAGTGTGCTAATAATATTCGCCGTGCCACGTGTGATCAACGCGTATCTGGCCCAACTCCGTAATTAAATAAACATAAATATTTTTGTTTTCTACCGGTAATTTTTAGTTTTTTACATACTTCAACTCATAGCTCTGTTAGGAAAATTTAGTTTTATTTATCTCTGTATACTATCAATCAAGTTTATCACACAGTTGGCTTGAAAATATTCGAGACAAAATATCGTTATAAGTGGAAAATTTCTAACAAAAATCTGAACTATTTCGAGAATATGTGAAAAATGAATATAATAATGTATAAAAACAAATTATTTGTTAACGGTTATAGTAATCAAATTCATATTAAAAATTTCGAAACGATCTTTCTTGTGCTTATTCCAGATGGATTACAGTCCGAAGTTTTTAAAAGTTTTTAATATTTCATATTTAATTTTGATAGGTGACAAATCAACAATATTTACATATTACAATTTCTTCTTTAACCTTTAGTATTATAACTAATTAAATACTCGTGCATGCACGGGGTTTTTTCTTTCACAACCATGTTTGTATTATTGTATAGTATTATTTTCTATAATAATTTGATTTAACATTTGATATTTAGCTATTTTATATAATATACTGGTAAAAGATGCCAACGTGCTTCGTTTTTGGCTTAAAAATATTAGTCAACAAGAGCAACAAAATTTGCTAAGCAAATACGACAGACAAGATTCTTTTCTTCTCGTCATGATAAATGTATGAATCACTCTTTGTTTTCAAGATGCCATGTCTCGGATATTTGCATCTCACGAGTTTTCTTATTTGACAAAATCAAATTCATATTCTTTTCACACAAAATATAAATAATTTTTAGATGAAAGAAATTGCGCTTTCTCCATATTGAGTGAGTGTCACCTCATCAAATATATATTTCGAGTAGTAATTCGTGTGTTGGGAATTCGCCGGATACCCTATTTGAACATAATTTAACTAAGTTTGTAGAAAGAAAAAAATGTTAGAAACTCGAAAACAAAATACAAGTGCGTTGACTAACCTAATTTAAACTAATATATATATATATATATATATATATAATTTCGTTAGGATATCATCGCTCAAATGATGAAATTATGCCCTCCGCCAAAATTTGGGAATCAAAAGATTGGTGCCATCCATGTGATGTGAGACACTGAGACCCTACATCATGTTGATAAACTGCAAGAACAATATAATTTCTTATTGATAAAGTAATTGGGATGCTTTTTCCCTGCCTTCTAGAAGAAAATTCAGTCGAATCATTAATACATATATAAGAATCTGGAAATGTAGTCAGTTACTGAATAATGAATAATGAATAATCGGATCTAGCCTTTTGCTTTTTCTTCCCTCTTTGCTCTTGAATTTTTCTGTCATATACTCCTACAAGATATAGTTATTATTTGATTATTTTTACACCTTACCAAAAGATGACTAATTTTTCTTTTTTTGTTCAAATGACTAAATTTTCTTAGGTTATTTTACTGTATAACTATAATAATAAAAGAATACAAGAATATAGTTATGATATTTGAATAATTTGTAAAGTAATAATACTTTACAATCAATTGTCGAATATAACATTATACTATATTATACTTTATATTATACTACATATTAATTTTATAGAATAGTTTTCGTTTGACATAGTATTAATAAGAAAAAGTTGGTTGTAAAGAGAAAAAGAGAGAAGAAGACGGAAGAGAAGAGGAAATGAGCAGAGAGGAGAGAGGGGAAGAGTAGAATATTTTTGTATATATTGTAAAATATACAAAAAATATCATAACACCTATTTATTATAGTTATTTGATAAATTTATGTCGTTTATATGGTTATACCATCCAATTTCTCAATTTTATTTAGGATAAACAGATTTAACTAACAACATATGATAAAAAAAAAGTTACAATGAAAGTCGTTGTGTAAATTAAGTTTTGACTAAAAAAGATTATTAGGAGATGGATTTATATAAAATTATTTGATTTTAAAAATTAAGAAATTTATTAAATATGTAAAAAAATTTGTTAGATTTAGAGAGAGTTTGTATATTTTAAAAAATCTATAAAAAATATTTTAGTATAATTGATTTGAAAATATTAGGAATATAGTTAGTATTTTGAAAGTTGTATTATATGTGTTAATTTGTTTAAAATCAATGACCCAATAACAAAGATTTAATGATTCTATTAAAATATTTAAAAAGAAAAATCTAAAAAATTTAAATATCAATTGATTTTGTATAGATTTTAAAAATCATCAAACATATAACACTGAATTTTGATAAAAACGTCAGAATTCATTAACTAATAAAAATAAATTTTGAAAATTATTATAATTTTTTTAAAAATTCATTTCTCAATAAGCCCCTAAGCAGACATATTGTTGGAATATTTTTTCTTTAAAACTAACTAAATTCTTTTAATCCACATTAGTCTAGATTTTGGCTAAAAGAAATCATTTACTTACAAATATAGATTCTTTTTTACTTAAAAATATTGCTTACCACGCAAATTATGAAGGGTCTTTTTACAAGAGAAAAAAAGTTAATGTACTCAGTAAGTTGAGATGATAATCACACAAAAAAAATGTAAGAACTAATCAGCGGCTAACAAATTATCTTAATTTAATTATGCAATGATGCTTTTTTATACAATTTAAATCAAACCATAACTTAGTTATAATTCAGTAATGATCATAAATTATATCGTATAACATTTGATGCTATTGGATCTTATACTTGTAAATTATGGTTAAAAGATTTTTAAGTTTGATATAATTCAGTAAAGATTTCAAATACGTTTTAAAATCTAGTATGATTCAAAAGTTAAAAATTTAATATGCATATGCAATAATAATATCTAACCCTATTAAGTTATATGAGCTTCCAACTTAAAACTAATTGGTAATGAGTGGATTGGCCCAAGTCTTATATATATTAGTGTTGGTCCCTTTAAATTTCTGATGTGGGATTCCGACACGCCTCCTCGAGATGATGGCTCTTATCAGCCTATTTCGAACTGAATCTCACTTTAGGACCAGTAATAAACTCTTTTTTGGGCTACCATACTTAGGTTAACAAACAAGGCTCTGATACCATGTTAAATTATATGGGCTTCCAACTCAAAACTAATTGGCAATAAGTGGATTGACCCAAATCTTATATATACTAGTATTGGTTCCTTTAAACTTTCGATGTGGGATTCCAACAAACCCCATGATGTAATATCATTTTCTATTGCAAAATAATAACATCAATATTGTGTAAAATACTCAAAATACATTAGAATCAAGCCAAAACTTTAACCTAGTTAGGACTTAGGACCTCTTAAGATAATTTCACACGTCATGTGAGTCTACTAATGGTCGGCCCTTCGTGTCGACCCAAAGTAAATTCACGTTGCGAGACTTTAGATCTTGTCGTTATACATTGTCAGATTTTTTCACTATTTCAGTCAGATCAATGTCGGGAGCTTGAATATTAATATAATAATAACCTTCTAGAAGCTTTAAAGATGCAGTGTGGTCTCTCTTATTTTTACTAATAGAAAAATAAAATAAAAAACAACATCAACCTTTTTCGGTGCTACTTGATAAAAATACCAAAAACTCTCAATAGCCTCTGCTTATTAATAAACAAATCTTAGCAAAACTTAGCAAATAAAATGACAATGACATAAACGTCTGATGTCAGGTTGTCGTTTAGTTTTGTAATCACTACAGTTGCAGTGAGGACAGGTTATTCCGTTAAGATTCTTAAAGTCGTTTATGGCCACATGTCCCATTGGAATAACCCTCCTTGTCGTTACACTCCCTTGCTTCCACTAATTTTGTAAGTTGTAGATAAACAACAATTGATATCATTCACCAAGATTAAACCAAAAGAATAAATAATGCATCAAGATTAAATAAATTCTTTTATCATAACAATTAATTATCAATGTTTTTCTTAAGATTCTAGCTACATCAAAAATTACATGAGAGTTAGAATAGGAAAAGAATTGTTTAGTGAATTTTGTAAAAATGTCTAAATTTTGTGTATTTAACAGATAATAAAGACACACAAAAGTGTAACTCTATGATTCTTTCTGTTAAAAAATGCATACTATAGTATATTTTAAATATTAACTCATACATTAATGAATTTACGGGGGATCAAAGTAAATTGATTTGAAATAAACATTCGACTGGCATGAATTTTTATTTGTGAATCAAATACCAAAAAAACTTGAAATTACTACACTTGCAGTGAGGAAATGTTATTCGTTTATAGTTCTTGAAGTCGTTTATGCATGCCTTCTCACCGTCAGGGCCACATGTCCCATTGAATTGTGCTCCATCTTGTTTACACTCCCCTGCTTCCACTATATATATATTTTTTTTTTAATTGTAGATAATACTTATTGTTAGATAAACAACAATTGAAATAATACACCAAGGTTTAACAAAAAGAATAAATAATGCATCAAGATCAAACAAATAAAAAAAAAATTCTAGCATAAAATCATTATTTGACTAATAATAATGATCATTGTATATATTCATATTCTACATCGACAATTACATGAGACGTAGAATAAGAGTAATGCGTGTGTGTAATAAAGACACTAACCAATCGTACTCATTGATAATTAGTGTTGAGATGAAAATCAACACAACAATAACCCATAAATCTCTCCATAAGTTGACACCTAAACTTTTTCAAGCTTTCTCAACATGACATCTCATCAAAAAAATTAACCAATGAAAATATTTTATTAATACACCTCATATGTATTAACTTTAAACTCATTAAAACCTCAAAAAATAAACATTTGTTGGTAATCTTT